TTTGAGACGGAGTCTTGCTCAGTCACCACGCTGGAGTGCGTGGCATGATTCTCGGCTCTCTGCAAGCTCTGACTCCCGGGTTCACGCCATTTTCCATGCCTCAGCCTCCAGAGTAGCTGGACTACAGGCGCCCGCCACTATACCCAGCTTAGTTCATTTTTCTGGTATTTTTAGTAGGGGGACTGGAGGTTTCACCGTGTTAAGCCCAGGATGGTCTCGATCTTCCTTGACCTCGTGATCCGCCCGTCTCGCCTCCCAAAGTGCTTGGGATTACAGGCGTGAAACACCTGCGCCCCGGCCACAACCTCAGGATTTTCAATTAAAATGTTAGTTGTGTCCAATTGAATGTCTATTTTGGAATGTAGTGGACTAATTCAAACCACTGCATGACCATATTCGGAATGGGCTATTGGGAACTAGTGAAAATATTGTTCTTCATTCAGCTGGAACATTGGTACGACCAATCACAACCCTGGTGTTAAAATTAGAGATTTTTTGCCATGATGGAAGCCAGAGTAGACTCTTAGCTTTCAAAAGAGATATAATTGTGAAACTTTTAAAAATCACGGTTCCAGGCAATATTTTGAATGCTGATCCAGAAGGACAAACTGTTGGAATTTCTTTTTTTTTTGTTTTTTTTTTAAGACAGGGTTCTCACTGTGGTTCGCCTAGGCTGGATTACTATGGCATGATCACGGCTCACTGCAGCCCTCAAACCTCCCAGGTTCAATCAGTTCTCCCACCTCAGGCGGCCTCCTCAAGTAAGCCTGGGACTATTAGGCCATGCCACCACGGGGCCAATTTTTTTTTTTTTTTTTTGTAGAGACAGGGTTCTACTATGTTGCCTAGGCAGATTTCAGACTCCTGGGGGCTCAAATGATCCACCTACCTCAGCCTCCCAAGGTGCTAGGATTACAGGCATGAGCCACTGTGCCCAGGCTGAGCATCATCTTAAGATGTTCAAGTACTCAACAGGGGCTTTGTTTTATTAGTAACTGTCATGTGTCTAGGCACTGGCATCTGGTAGGTGTTTAAAAACATATTTGTTGAATGAAAGAATGAAGTCTCATGGAGGATGTTTTTTCCCTGAGATCTTAGTAGTCTAAAGACATTTTCTTGTGGACCTTGACCTGTGCACTTGTTCCTTTTCCCCTTTGCATTGGCAGCTGGGAGGCTCACACGTTCATTATAGTCTATCTCTAGCTGTTTATAGAAGTTTATGGCATAGATTTTCTACTGACTGTAACTCTGACTTTAACTTGTTTTCCTACCTGCTTTAATTTTTATGATTTATTTTTTAACTTGAAAATATCTATTTTGCAAATTGCCTAAAAACATTTTGGGAACTAGGTGGGTAGGCAGAAGGATAGAGAACTAGAGAATGAGGTAATAAAGGAAGAGAGGGAGGTAGGGAAAGGAAAGAAGGGGAAGAGAATAGGTGGTGTGGGGGATGATTACATCTTAAGATACTCATGTACTCAAGACTCAGAGAACTTACTGTGTGTGCCCTCACACTCAGGGAAGAACTGCTTAAGGCCCTTTGTGGCCTGCATAGCCTTAGCACTAGGCCCTGATAGGTAGTATGTGCTCAATGAAGTCTTGGCAATTTGAGTGGACATTTCCTGGGCTCACTGAATGTTTGTTGATTGCCTATTTTAGCATGTTTTTTTTAAATGTCTCTTAAAATGCTTGGACTTCTTTCTCTGTTTGGGAAACTGTGTAATACAATAGACTAAAATGAGTTCTGGGGTCAAACAGAGTTTTGTTTGAAAACTAACTCTGCTGGCCGGGTGTGGTGGTTCACGCCTATAATCCCAGCACTTTGGGAGGCTGAGGCGGGTGAATTACTGGAGATCAGGAGTTCAAGACCAGCCTGGCCAACATGGTGAAAGCCAGTCTCTACTAAAAATACAAAATTAGCTGGGTGTGGTGGTGGGCGCCTGTAATCCTGGCTACTCAGGAGGCTGAGGCAGGAGAATCGCTTGAACCCGGGAGGTGGAGCTTGTGGTGAGCCAAGATCGCGCCATTGTACTCCAGCCTGGGCAAAAAGAGTGAAACTCCATCTCAAAAAAAGAAAGAAAGAAAAACTAACTTGGCTGCTGATTGGCTTGTGTCCTTGGCCAAAAGATTTACATACTCTCTCTTCGCCTATTTCCTCATCTGTAGAATTGGGATAATATTTACTGCCAACTCACTGGGAGGGTTTATTAAGAAGATGTATACAAAAGCACCAGCAGTCTCTGGTACAGAAGAGGCACTCAAAATATTTCAGTTCTCCAGTGCATTGGACACACATCTGGCTGACTCCTAGTGGGCAAGTAGCCTGTACTCTGGCTGCAGTGCTCTGCCTCTGCCTTGTGAGCCAGCTTCCAGTCCGGCTGGCCCAGGAAGAGCTGGCCTCCTTAGTCCCAGAGCTTAGGGAGCTTATTATGCTGAGTTGCTGGACTTCTAGATAGATACCCATCCCCTCAGACTAGCAGATGAACAGTTTGTTGCCTGCCTTTCCCAGGTAGGCTGTTTCCCAGGCTGTTGGCCTGGGGAATCATGTATTCCAAGTCAAAAATTTCTGTCCTGCATGGTTTGATTCATGATCTGAGGACAGTTCCAAATCTGTGACCTCGTAGTGGCTGAGTCAGGGTGTTGAGATTGCCATTCTTGTGCTGAGCTTGGGTTGCCCAAGATGATACAAAATGGTCAAACCATGGCAGGATATTGCATATTCTTCTGTTCATTTGGCCCATTGCTATTCCTGGTTGCTGTGTCTATTCTTGCCACAACCTGTGTAGCCAGTGTCTACCATGTGCCAGGATTTTGGACCTTACAGGACATTGTCCTTTGCCAATGGAAAAAATATGTTGCCCTGGACTTTAGGAAATGCTCCTGATTTTTGAGGTCCTTTATAATCATATTAGTTCTAAGTGGGTGTCTTGTCTATCATCTTTATTTTTTACCTTGTTTATGCTTATTAAGTGTTTTTATTAGTGACAGGTTTGTTGTCAAAGACCTGGGTTATTTGGTTATAGTCTGCTATTGTTCTAGTGATGGCAAGACTAGTAATAAGCTTCCTGGTCTGTCCTCACAATTGGGAAAGAACAATCTTATTTACATTCCAGAGTGGCCAGATTATAATTTTGGAATAGCCCAGGAAAGATCCATCTCACATAAGATTCATATGTAATCATTCAATACTCTTCGAACATCTACTTTGTGCTCTAGCTCCTGTCTAGGTTCATTGCAGTGAAGTCCTGTATTCAAACATGTTGAAGACTGGGCTGAGCATTGGTTGAGTCCAGAAAGTGATCTAGAAATTTTGGCTTTGAAAAAAATATATTGTTAAGCGTTTTTGTTTGTTTTGATAGAGAGGACCTGCTGCTTTGTCTTTTAAAAAAATTGATAAATTTGGTTCTTTGAAAGTATCCATTCGCTTTTCTCTACATGGAAATAATGAATAATGGTCTCTATGGGCAAACATATTTGAGAAATGTAGCTCACCTTGTCTATCAAAGCATAGTGGGTGGTATCGGGGGTGTGCTATTCCTGATAGCCCAGCATCAGCCCAGGCCCATCCATAATAGGCCTGTGACTCATATGTACCAGTCTCAATTCTGTGTTGTTGAACACACAATTTAGGTATTGCCTTATGTGCTGTAGATGAAGCCAGAGCTGTTCTTATTGCCATGGTGGTTTCTGATTTCAAGATCTGTTTTTGCTTGCAGGAGCTGCTAAGCCGCACATCTCTTGAGACCCAGAAGCTTGATCTGATGACTGAAGTGTCTGAGCTGAAGCTCAAGCTGGTTGGCATGGAGAAGGAGCAGAGAGAGCAGGAGGAGAAGCAGAGAAAAGCAGAGGTGAGGGTGAACTTGTACTGTCTTAAGCTCAGACCTGAGAAGGCTGTCATAATGTGAATTTAGGCTGTCTTGTCAACTCCCAGCCTGGAAGCTATTGGGTGCCAGAAATATCTATACACTAGAGATGCAGTGATCTGTTAATACCAAGTTATCAAGTTTTGCTGTGGCTGCAAATTTCAGCAATATCCAAACCACTCAGTTTTGGCTCTAAGGCTTTATCTGCCCTCAAACTGCTGACAAGGATGGAAAGAGAAGCAATAGTTGGGGAAGAATAAGACAAAATACGGAGGGACACAAGATGTCTTCTGTGAGAACCAAGGAAATGACGACGTACCATAATGAGGTTGGCCTCCCAACAGCCCATTGTCACTAGATCCAAGGATTCTGGAAACATTTCTTGACGTGCATTTCCCTGACCCAGGTGGAACCTCAGGTTATGTGTTTCTTTTCTCCTGATGGGTCTTACGGAGCGGCCATCTGAAGGCCTTCTCTTAGAGAATGTTTTCCTAATTTTGTTTTTCAGTCTTTGTATGCCATTGGCTGGAACATGCCAGGCTTTTTAAAATAAATGTTTACAGAATTTTAGACTCAGACTCCTTTGAGAGCAGGCAGCCTGTTTTAACCTTAGATAACCATCTTCTTGTGCCTCTACCTTTAAGTTCTTGTATTCACACCAACAATGAGAGATATGAAAGAAGATAGGTTTTAGGTTTAGAAACACCTTGCTCATTTACTGACCTGACTACTTGTTAGCAGTAAAATGGATAACTGTGTGGTAAAGTCCAAATAAAATCATGAAAGTTAAGTACCTGTCATAGTATTTGGCATTTTGTCAGTACCTGGTATGTCTTCATCTCCTTCCTACATTTAGGCCAAAGACAGATATTGTTCCCTTCTGATAAGTGCCAGCATTAGTGCATACTGAAACCTGCCATGTTTGCTGAGTAAACACACTGGTGATTAGAATATTTCTAATGTGCGAGCATATTCCTTGCATTGCTTTTGAGAACATGTTCATTAATTAGAAGTACAGTTGCCAAAAGAAGATATCCCCAATAAGCTGAGAACAGTAGCTTGTATTGATTAAGAGTCCAGGCTGATGAATCAGATCTCCTGGCTTTAAACTGAGCTCAGTGGCTTTGTGATCTGGGGCAAGTAATTTAACCTCCCAAACCCGTTTCTTCTTCTGTAAGATGGAGGTAGTAATACTTCCAATTTCTTTGGTTATTCTCAGGAGTGAATGAGACAATGTATGTGGAACTCGTAGCATAGTAATAGTTAGCTTTTATTGATCACTTACTGATAGTATTGTTAAGCATGTTGGAAATGAAAATGTAGACATAGATACGTTATTTACATATTGCAAAATTTACACAGCCTGAAAGCTAATCTGTGTGAAGTGTTAGTTGAATTAAATGTTCAGGGAGAAGTAACTGAATTTTCTTCTGGTTTAAAGTTATTTTACCAATGTTTCAACATGCATGATTGTATGTGAACACACATTAGGACTTCGGGGGCAGAATTCCATAAACTCTGTGAGAAGGCTTAAAGTGGCAGACACTCAACTCAAAATCAAGAAAAAAAGGGAGGAGAGAGATCTATGTCACGTAACTTGAAAAGTCTAGGGTTTAAAAAATGCAATATGACTAGATCCAGGTAATCTCACAGTGTCACTAGAAATTAGTCTCAGTTGTATCACTTGGTTCTGTTTTAGCCTTGTTCTCAAGAAGACTCTCCCCAAGTGGTGACACAGATAGCCATTGGTAGCTCCAAAATGATATCCTACCAGCCAGGCAACTTCTGCAGTCAAAGAGGTGCTTTCTCAAAGGTTCCAGCAAAAGCCCCAGGAGTGCATTTCATTGGGTCAATTTGGGTCATATACCTGGTTCTACACCAGTCACCTCTGGGATCCGTGCATGAGGGGTGGGGGGTGTGAGTATTAAAGTCAGCCCATCTGTGGAAGTATGCAGAGTTAGCACCAAGCTGGGATAATGCAGTCCTTTTAAAGGGACATCAGAAAGGAAGGAGAGCTCCCGCTTCTGGGATAAGAAGCACTAACACAGTCATCTTGCTGTTTGCTTTTTTCTTTCTTTTCTGAAGGATTATTTTTAAATCTGAATTTCTTGTTTTTGTTTTTCATTGGTCTGTTCATGCATAAGGCAACGTAGACTCTGAGTGTCTGGCCTCAATTCTACCAGATAACAGCCCTTGCCCGTTGCTAGTACAAATATTAGGTTTCCACGTGGAGGAATTCTGCAGGCTGTCCAAACCTGTGATAATCAGTGAGCAGCCACATGATCTGAAACAAATTCCTCATTCTTGTAATTGCACATAATCTTTGCTGGTATGCCAGAACTTCTACCTCTATTTGTGAGTATCTGGAGCACCAGGGGTTTAAAACCACAGAGTGTTGCTTAAGCTGCACTATTGTCATGTGCATGGAGATGTTTATTTTGAGTGAGACATTTTGCTAGCTGAGGTCATCAGATGTTGTAATTGCATGAATAAAGGGAATGCTGCTTTCCATACTGTACTGCAGCTGTTTTTTTCCGGTGAATGTATTTAGCTTAAGGGCTCATTGTGTATGGTTTGGAACAGGCAGGATTCTTTTTTTTTTTTTTTTCCCCTTAGGTATGAGGTAGCCAGATCTGAAATAAACCTCCTCAGCTTAGCTCAGGCTTTATCCTCAAATTCTGTTTTATGTTTTAATGAAAAGAAGAGAATGCTGGTGGCAAGAGCATTGCAGACTGCTCCTTCTGCTCTGATTCTGATCATAGCCCAAGCCAGCATCTTGCTGTTTAAGTTGTGGAAATGATTACTGACAGTCATTCTGTAAGACTTGAGGACTTGCAGGCACAGGTTCCTTGATGGCCAGCCTTGCTCAGGAATGAGTAGTGGCCCAAATGAGATTTGGATGAATACTAGGTTTCCTGTTTACCTTTTCTCATCAGCCTTTTGCAATGGTTCAGTGTCATATGAGGGTACTGAAGACTGGATAAATTAGATGTACTCCTGAAAAGCAGGACTATGGAAGAATGATTGACATGGAAAGTAAATACCACAATAAGGGGATGGAGCATGAAAGAAAGAGATCCAGAGGTAAAGGGAAACCTGTGTGTGGACACAGATCAAAGCATTGCATAGGCGTGTTGCTCAGATGGGTCTTCTCTGAGAAAGGAATCTGGCTTCCCCATGCTGTGGGGGTGCCGGCAACCTGCAACTGGACCCCACTGTGGTAACTGGAGGGTTCTGTGAGTAGTTACCAGAACAGCCTGTTAAGAAGGGAGCAAGGACCCCAGATATGCTAGGAAGGGGAGTCAGCCCAACTGATCAGGGGTACGTGTGAGCAAGAAGAGAACAGGAAAGAATCTTTAGGATTTCCTGCAGAAAATGGACACATCTTATAGCACAAGTGATGATGCCATCATTTCTTCTTTCTTGTGGTTAGGACCTTGGGAGAAAGGGATTCTGATTTCTGAACTGAGGCAACAGAATGATGGACTTGGACTACAGAGCAAGATCTGGGAAGATTGTGTTTGCTCAGAGATGAGCTGGCCTAATGAGGAGAGTTTTGTTATTCTTGCTTTTATTTTCTTTCTTTACTCATTTGCATCAATATATGAAATATACTCCCACAATTCAAAAATCAAGAGTTCAAAAGGGCATATAGCAAAAGATCTCATTCAACACCTGTCCTCCAGTCAGCAGTCAGGAACCAGTGCCATCAGTTTGTATCCTTCCAGAGTTATATTATGTGTGGACAAATACATTCATGTGGATACACACAGACACACACACTTCCCCTCATTTTTATACAGATGTTCACTATTCTAGACCTTTCTTTTTAAATTTAGTAGTCTTGGAGTTCTTTTTACACCAAGTATGTTTTTAAAAACTTCCTCATTCATATCTATGTCTGCATATTGTTCTACCATCCAACTATAGCCTAATTTATTTAACCAGTCCTCTCTCAGTGGACATTGAGGTGGTTTCCAAGTTTCTGCTATTACAAATAATGCTGCAGTGAATAATCTCGTATATGTGTAAAGATACTGATGTGGAGTTTATGGGTCAAGGAGTACGCGAACTTGACATTTTGACAGATATTTCCAAATTGCCCTCTCTAGAACATAGAGGTTATATTCCCATGAGCAATGTAATGCATAAGAGTGCCAGGACAGTATTAAACTGAGCCTGAAAAAAGAAGAAAGAACTAAGTAAAATTATATACAAGATTAACAGGTAAGATGGAATTGGGAACAACTGTGATTACAGGAGGTGCTCAGTAGTTTCACACAGAAAAGAACCATAAAGAAGAACTTTAATGGTTGGCAAAGTGTGATTAAAAAACAAAGTGAGCTGAGATTACAACACAGGACAGCAATTATAACCTCATAAATGCCACCTAGACATCATGATGTGGGACCCAGAATGGAATAGAGCTACAAAAGGGTCTGCTTTATGGGAGGGAAACAGACCTGTTAAGAGAGGAGATGGGCCAGCCCTGGAGATAAAGAATTATGAAGCTAGGCCAGGTGTAGTGGCTCACACCTGTAACCCCAGTACTTTGGGAGGCCAAGGAGAGTGGATCACTTGAGGTCAGGAGTTTGAGACCAGCCTGGCCAACATAGTGAAACCCTGTCTCTACTAAAACATATGAAAATTAGCCAGGCATGGTATTGTGCGCCTGTAGTCCCAGCTTCTTGGGAGGCGAGACATGAGAATCACTTGAACCTGGGAGGTGGAGGTTGCAGTGAGCCGAGATCACGCCACTGCACTCCAGCCTGGGAGACAGAGCGAGACTCTGTCTCAAAAAAAAAAAAAAAAATTATAAAGCTAAGTTGAAATGCCAAGCCTGAAGACAGACATACCATAAAACAGTGACAACACATGGCTCAGGAGAATTAAAGCAGAGTAGCCCAGAAGTTTTGGGTACACCACACGCTGAGCAGAGGGAGGAAAACAGATGTGTTCCTGATGCAGGTCTCCAGACTGATGCACACAAGTGGCAGTGATGGAGGAAGGGGAGCAGCAACTTACTTGGTTAGCTCCTAAATGTCCCCCAGCTGAATTCTGAAGCATTTGAATGTTTACTTTGTTTTTCTCACTTGCTTACCCTCTACTCAGAGGGTAGAAGACAAAACTAGGAAAACTGCCATTCTAGCTCCAATATTGAAGCAAAAGGAGGCACTGGTTTATGAAGTAAAAGTGATAGGTACCTTGAGAGAAAGTGGTCGTTGTTATTTGAATGTTCACAAGGGTGAGCACGGAAAAAACTAGGCATAAACAGACATGCACTGTAAACTTGGGTCAGTCATAACTCTGACAGTTTAAAAATAAAATGGATGGGGAACTCTCAAATAGAGGAAGACCCAAGAATGTTGAACTACTTAAATATAATTCTGACTGTGCAATCTCACAGATAATACCAATAAAAAGGAAGAGCTTAGAGGTCTCTTGAAAGGAAGTAGTTTTCAGAGGGGCTTGTGCAAAAGGCAGAAAGGACATACGCTAAAGACAAAAGTGCACCTGCATGACCAGTGTCAGGAAGGGGACATTCCAAACTAAAGGATAATGCTGAGGACAACACAAAGCCACACACACACACACACACACACACACACACACACAACACACACAGAGTTATGTTCTTAATAAGAAAAACAAAGAAAAAATGGACTTGATTCCATGGATGCCTCTGACAGGTACAAAAAATTTAGGACAGTAGTCCCCCAAAGTGCTTGCTATAAGTTAACTTTAAGGAATCAGGAAAATCAAATGTTTCTAGAAAACTGGAACCATTTCCTTCTTGATTTTCAAAATGGCAAAAGTGTGATAGATTCAATAAATTTTAGTCTATTGAGTTTGGGGCCAACTCTATGATGGTTTGCAAGAAGCTACGAGACAAAGTAGTGGGGATTGGTGTCCTCGAGGAGTGAGTCATGTTAGATTGGCCTTATCAGTTTGGCCAGGAATGTGTCTTGTGGTAGACCAGGTAAATCCACATTTCACTGAAGTGTTGCAAAAACGTTGTTTGGGATAATCTTGTAGACAAGATGGAGGAATGTAAGATAAAGACACTGAAATAGCATATTGGTGCCTGACCGAGTTCAGAGTTTAGGTACATATTGTCATGGATAAGTGTTATGTGTGCCATATGTCGCCTGTGCATACGTGCTGACACACTGGGTGTTTGGGTAAGGGGAGTCAGTATGTGTATCATGCATATGTGGAGAGGGGATGTGTTTGTGTGTGTGCCCCGGTGTGCACCCACATCTGCTGTTGCTTCTGCTTGGATGAAGGGTTTCTTCTAGACTCCATATCTCGGTGTTGACACAACAGTATGGCACAAAGGAGCTGTTGGGGATTTGTTTGAACTGCCAGACAGGCACCTGGATGGGGCAGGCCTGAGGAAAAATGCCATGTCTTTTGGTTCTGGTGAGGAAAGTGGAGGGCTGTCGACAGTGACCACTGGGTGCCACCTCCTTCCTGCCCCATGCACCTCTGTGCTGTTCTCTTAAGGAGTTCTGCATCTGAGAGCTGTCTGACCTGGAGCGCTTTTCTCTTCTTTCTTTTCCTTCCTACAGTCGGTTCTGAATGTGATCAGTGAGCTGCAGGAGCAGATGTGTAGGCTGCAGCTGGACATCCACAGGCAGATTCAAGAGCGCCTGTTACACAGTAGGGGCCACCCTGAGGAGGTAGCGGCCAGTGATGGTGTGGCCGAGTCCCAGTCCTGCGGCCAGGACTGTGCCTGTTGGGAGGGGTCACCTGTAGGAACCACACTTAAGTATACCAGAGCATGCGTGTGTGGGGCATTTCACTCGTGGAGGGGCTGGGGTTTCTCCTAACCAGAACAGAGTGCAGTGGCTTGGCATGGATCTGTTGTTACGTCTGGGCAGAGCTTGGACTCACTCAGTCCTCTTGGGATGTGAAGTGAGTTCAGTGACCCTCACTGAGCAGGGTCTGAGCAGGTGAGGCCAACCCTCAAACAGGTGGCACTCATCTCCTTAAGGGCTGGGAATGAGGTGCACCAGGTGCTCTGAGTGATGGGGCATTTGTGCCACAGGAAGCCTCATGATTCCCCTTCCCATGTATATGACTCAGATACTGATTCCTCCTCCCAGGCTGGGAGATTAAACAAAGTTTTGTTTCACATGATTTTTTTTTTAAGGAAAAAAAAGTATTATGAAAAAGAATCCTTTCAAGTTTATGTTTACCCCCAGTGAAAAAATAAAATGCAAGTTTTCATGTGCTGTGAATAATTAAGTCGTCATCTGAATTTCCAGGAAAAATCCCCCCCACGTAATCACATCAGGCTGATTTTATAACCACTGGGCCACGCGGGGCTGTATCTGACTGGGACTCTGGACTTGGCTTTCCACATGGGGATGACCTGGTCCTCTGTGACTTTGCTCATGGCAGGTGATAGCAGCTTCAGCAGAGACAAGCCTATGCCTCTAAGGAGGCCTACTGTTGAAAAGGACTTGGAAGCTCCCCAAGAAAAGACCGAGGTCACAGCAGCCATGAGTACTACAGAGGGTACCCTGGCTCTGTAGGAAGTTACTATGGTCCATACTCAATTAGAGAGCCTGTTGAAAATCTAGACATAGGTGTTGGGGGGAGGGATTTGGTGGGAAAGATTTCCTGCTGCATTAAAGGACAGGGGGAAAATAGGAAAGTCAAGATGTAAATGTAGATTTGGATAGAGAAGCCTTGAGAGGGTGTTGGCGCATGACCTATGTTGAGTAGGTTACTCCAGCAAGACTTTTAAAGGAAGGTAAAATGTGCGTGTACTCATGTTGGTAGTCAGCGATGGACAACAAGTAACATGGAAGGAAGAGGATGTTCCAGAGGTCACAGAGCCTGGAGAGGATGATCGCTGTGTACCCACAGTGGCAGCTCCTCAGGCAGTAGGAACCTGCATACTTCCGATTCTGATATCAGCTGGCCTGACACCCTCTCCAACAGACTGAGTAGCCTGGCTAGGATACAAGGCTGAGCAGAAGAACCCCCAACTTGTGGGCATTGGAGCCTCTCAGGCAGGGCCAATAATGTTCTCAGAGAATGATTCAGGGTCTGCTGCAAGTCAAAGCAGGTAACTGAGGCCTTGATATCCAGTGATGCAGATCATGGATGCAATAGCCTTAGCTGAGAAGTTTCCTTTTCCTTTTTTTTTTTTTTTTTCCAGCTGGGATTACAGACACTCATCACCACACTTGGCTAATTTTTGTATTTTTAGTAAAGATAGGGTTTCACCATGTTATCTAGGCTGGTCTCGAGCTCCTGATCTCAAGTGACCCACCCACCTCAGCCTCTCAAAGTGTTGGGATTACAGGCGTGAACCACCGTGCCTGGCCAGAAGTTTTCTTTGTTTTGTTTTTAATGGGCATCAGCAAATGCTCACCTCAGCTAGAAGGCAATCTTAATAAATGACCCTACGAAATTCAAGGGTAAGCAATGTCACTTCGTGGTGGATGATCTCAGAAGGCCAAGACCTCCAGGCCAGTTAAATAATGACTTGAGTTTCATGTGTGCATTCATTGACAAATTGTGCATACCTACTATGTGCCAGGCACTGCAGGATAATCAGAGGTTAGCAAATGCCTCATGGAGTTTACAGCTTAGGAGGAGAGCTAGCTGCTAGCTGTCATACAAATAAATATTTAATTGCATATTATGTAGGAAGTTCAAGAGAATATAGCAGAGGGGCCTGATATAGTATGGAGGTCAGGATAGATTTACTCAGGGAGACCTGAAGGATGGGCAGGAGTTAACCTGGCAGAAAATTCCAGACAGAGGGAATGTTACCTGCAAACACCTAAATTGGAGAGAGGAACTGAAAATTATCCATGTGGCTAGAGCATAACTAGGGAGAAAGAGTGATCCAAGAGGCAGGCAGGGAGGTGTCAGGTCATGTGTTGAAGTTTATGAGCTTTGAGAAGCATGGGAGTGCCGTGATCTAATGTATGGTTTGATCATATCACTCCCCCAGATGCCACGGGGTCAACTGCTTTGAGAGGAGCAAGACAGCCAAGAAGCAACCAATGAATTGACTGTCCAGGCTGTCAGTGCTAATTGCTAGACCAGAGTGGTGGTGCCTGAGTGGGAAAGAAATGCGACATTCAAGTCGTTTTCCTGGAAGTAGAATTAATAAAACTTGGGGATGAACTGCATACATAGGGGAGGAAGGAGAGGGAGATGCTGAGGATAGATCCTATGTTTCTGGATAAGCTGTTAGATCGATGGATATGGCATTTAGTAAGATGAGAGTAACTAGGAGGGGAGTTGAGGATTCCACTTGGCACATGACGGTCCGGAGATGCCTGTGAGCATCCATGTGATGTTAAGTAGGAAGTTTGTTGTATGAGACTGCAGTTCAGAAAGCCTATGGAAATAATTATCTTTATGCCAATTCTTCTGATGGGAGCTAGTCAGCAGGACTAATTGTCTGTTAAGAGAATCTTGGTTCAAGATAACAGTGCTTAGTGGAGTCATCTTTATAGAAGGAGTAGTTTCACAAACAAGGGTCCTGGAGTCAGAATATAGGGGCTTGAATTCCATGTAAGAGAAAATTGTTTGTGTCACCTCCCCACTCAGCAACCTTCAGTGACTCACTACTGTCCAAAGAATGGCATCAGAACTCATCATATGTATTCTCATCCTCAAGCCTTTACCTTAGGGCCTCACCTTAACTTCTCAGCCTCATCTTCCACTGTGTACCTACACCCATCCTCAGCTCCAGCCCCATGAGTTATCTCCCTTTCTGTCTCCTATCTTTACTCCTCCCTGGATGCTTTCTCCCTCCCTTCTTTCTTCAAACTATTATCTTCTTCTGAACTGGAACACCCATTATGACATCTATATTTGGCCCTTAACGTTTGTTCCTTTAGGGTTTCGTTTTTTTCCTCTGTGAGGCCTTCCAGGATCACAGGCCCCTTCTTCTGTTTTCCTTCACTCCCAGCACAGAGAGATGCTCCCAATTAGCCTGCTTCCTACTACTTTGCATCACAGGGAAGAAGCTGCCTCATTTCAGCAGCTCTGTTCTTCCCACTCCAAAGCTTCGCCTGCCTCATTTCAGCAGCTCTGTTCTTCCCACTCCAAAGCCTCGCCTGCCTGCCTATACTCATGTGTGTGATGCTGGCATACCCCGCAGAGGACATAGATGTCAGAGAAAGGGGCAGGCAGAACAGGTTCTAAAACTAAAAGGAAAGTTTTCACTTTCTTATGTCTGGAATGCACTGGCCTTTGTTTTTTAATGGCCATACAGCTTTCCTGAAACAAGGGTCTTGTTTAAAGATTAAAGCTGCTATGTGGAGCTTGATGTGGTTGCTGCATCCCCTATGCATGAGCTTAACCAAGTTGGTAAATCGAGAGCACATCTTTTAACCATCAGAACTTTGTCTTTCTCCCTCATCCCTCTAGGAGTTACTGCAAGAGCTCAGGCACCTCAAAATCAAAGTGGAAGAATTGGAAAATGAACGGAATCAGTATGAATGGAAGCTAAAGGCCACTAAGGTAAACGGCACTCCTGATGCTTACGGAGAGAGTACAAGGGCCTTGTGGAGAAGGTCTGCATTCCAACTTGGGGGTTTCCAGTAGCCTAAGTTTGAAAATGCAAATCAGCCCTCCAGTGTGGACACACAACAGTGCCCAGATTGGGCAGCAGACAGACTTGATCCAGGAAAGATCCTCATGGAGAAAGCCTGTGAGATTATGAATTGCTCAAGTGTAGTAACCCAGTCTGCTTCCTCTCTCTGCACCCCATAATGCCTGGCTGAAGCTGGACCAAGAAGGGGCTAGGAGTGGGGGAGCAAGTGAGTGGCAAGCAGTGAGTCATGGGTCCTAAAGCAGATGTTGGGTGCATCATTTTAAATTCAGTAGTCCCTTCTAGAATCAGTTTTTCAAAAAATAGGCATGCTTTATATTTGGCACAAAATATAATCCTAAAAATGATATAAGCTTTGAATTATTTCTTCAATCAAATCATGTTTCTCTTAAACTAGGGAGCCTGCAATTTAAAGGACACCAAAAATAAATTATATTGTGAAATAAATTTCTTCCCTCCCCTCTTTGTTTCTTCCTTCTTTTCCTATACTAAAGTGCAGAGATCAAAACTAGTGGGTTACATGTAGCCCATGAATTTTTTTGGCCTGCACATTGGATTTTAAAACGGTGAATTGTTATTTAAATTTCAGGAAGTTTACATTAGGCTACAGTTAGGTTTCCTTTGGGGAGTATGGGGAGATGGGAGGCTCACACCTGCCTTCCCCTACTGTGTCTGCAGTGCCACCCAAGGGCATTACTGGATCGTTTTTATTAGAATTTTCTTAACTTCTACTTTGTATTTTTATTTTTTGTGCAGGTTAATTGCTAATTATTATAAAAACAGTAACACACACTATAGAGAATGTTCAAAACATAAAAAATTAAAGGAATCAAAAGCACTCATACCACCCAGGTACTACCAGTGCTGATATTTCCTTCCATGTATTCTCTTCTGTTTTAGGTCTATGTCAGGCCATTCTTGCATTGCTACAAGTAAATAGCTTAGACTAGGTAATTTATAAAGAAGAGGTTTAATTAGCTCAGGGTACTGCAGGTTTTACAGGAAGCATGATGCTGGTCGTATCCGCTCAGCTTCTAGTGAAGCCTTAGGGAGTTTTCAGTCATGGCAGAAGGCAAAAGCAGGAGCAAGTGAGAGAGACAAGAGGAGGTGCCACAAACTTTTAAACAACCTCATCTCGTGAAAACTCACTCACAATTGCGAGGACAGCACCAAGAGGGTGGCACCACCATTCATGAGAAATCTACCCTCATGATCCATTCACCTCCTACCAGAGCCCACCTCCAATACTGGGGATTACAGTTCAACATGAGATTTGGCAGGAAGAAATACTCAAACATCAGGGTCTCCCTATCTCTGTCTCTTAATTTTTATTGTTGATAATTTATATGCAATTTTATATCATGCTATTATTTAAAATTTTATGACTTCTCATGTTATCAAAATAAAGCACTGAACATATGTAAATATGTAATCTAGTGTATACATGTAAAATAATTTGATTAATCATTTTACAGATAATGAAATGGATGCACAGAGAGATTTAACTTTCCCAGGATTTTACAGCTATTTGGTACCAAGCCTAGGCAATCAGACCCATCTGTGTCCTGGCCTGTGTGTATCTGAGTGTAGTTGTGTATGTGTATGCTTCACAGGCACCAGCTCTAGGGGCACTGGTTTTGTCCAGTAGCTCAGAACCTTCCATCACAATGCCCCATTCAAACAAGCCCTGTCTTGGGGAAACCTTTGAAGTTGTACACCCTCTGTCATAAAACCAAATAATACTTTTCTTTTTAAATTACCCCAGCTCTTTGCCTTGGCATGTAGACCTTTGAGATGCTAAGGGTTATTTAATAACTACCAGGTGTGGAGCACTTCCTATGTGCCAGAATGTACCAAGCTATTTGCACACATTTGATCATATAATCCATAAAATCACCTAGTGAGGTATATGTTTTTTTATTCTCACTTGACTGGGAAGGAAACAGAGGCTCAGCATGGCCAAGCTGAGGTTCACATCTGGGTCTGTGTCATTCCTGTGCCTTCATGTTGTTTCCAACATCATTCTGATTCCCTGCAGAGAAAACCAGCACTGTTTTTGGAAGTTTTTCACTTTTCTGCTTAAGGCCTCTCAGTCCCTGAAGGGGATTCATCTCCCAGTGCAATGACAGTAGGGCATGGTCCCTGGGTTTAATGAGGCACCGCATCTGCAGGGACTCAGACAGTAGCATACACAGTCAAGTGGCAGTAACATACACAGTCAAGTAGGTCTCTGGACTGTTCTTGGCCTTCCCAACTGCGGGGACAGAGATCGTTCAAAGGATAACAGAGCCCCTCTAGAGTCTGGCCTATTTCTGTGGAAATTGGCACAAGGCAGGTTGGACCCAGTCACTTGGTCTGTAGGGTCCATTGTATATACCTACAGGACCTCCCCTAGAGGCAGGGCTCAGGAAGAAGAGCCCTCATAGTGCCAGGTGCTAGATTCTATCTTGATCAGTCCACACTGCTGAATTCCCAACTGTGGGGCCAGCAGACAAGCATCAGGTATCCAGATTTCTGACAGAGACCAGTGCCCATCTTGTCCACAAAGAAAGGGAGATATGGGTGTGGAGAGGTACAAGAAAAGTTAAAGGAATATCTTTCAAGAATCATCTGGCCTTTGTAGAAATGGATGTTGAGACTCCCAAAGCTAATATCTTCAGAAGCCATTGTCACCATGAGTCATAAGCCCATGGGCATCTTTGCCTTGAGTGAGCTCTGATAAACTGCTCCATAGCTGCATGTCTCAGCAAGCGGGTTGCACAGCAGGACCCAGCTCTTGGCCTCTGTGAGTAGAGGGGCAGTGCTTCATTATGAACTTTGGAATAAGGAAACCCTACCCCTTGTCATCTCTTTATATGGTCATCCCTGTCCTATTTGGGGGATGTTAGGGAAGGTGATTCAGAAATCCTTGAGGTGAGCTCAGGGAGCCCAAGCCTGGTAAGAGTGGCCTTCATCTGTCCTGTTAACTCAGAAGCAGACATGCGGTGGTGGGTGGAGCCCTGACACTGGAGCAGGCAGGCCAGGGTTTGCATCCTGGCCTGGTCACCAAGTAGCTCTGTGACTGACACAGAATCTTGTATTACTCCCGTTTGCTCCCTGATGACTTACGGAGATATTGTTTCCTCAGGTGGTTTCTTGTGAGGATTTGATGTAAGAAAGTGAGCGCAGGGGCTGATCAGGGTGGGTGCTCAGTCTTTGTGCTGAAACTGAACACAAGGCCTGTCCAGCAACAGAGTTGCCAACAGGGCCAGTATTCACCTAATTACTTGGGGTTGTTCAAATATTAACTTGGGCCTTTGTGGAAATGAACAGCTCATACTATGACCTTGAGGACCAAAGGTGGGACATGATAGGGCCAACACATGGGGAAGGGGTGGCCAGAGGAGAAGCCTTTGCTGTCTTTTATTGACCAACTCCACATTCGATGCTCATCCCTTTTCTTACCTGGTTTGATGCAGAGAGAATTGAACCAATTATCCACAAAGAAAAGAATAGGATGAGAGGAGCAAATAGCAGTAGCATTTATTGAGCTCTTAGTATATACTAAATATTGGACTAGGTCATTCATAACCATTATCTTAAGCCTTATTGCAGTCCCATGAAGTAGGTGTAGTTTTTCCCATTTTATAGGTGAGCTGAGACTCAGAAAGGTTAACTTACTTGCCCAAGGTCACCCAACTAAAGAGAATCAAGGTTTGTTTGACTCCAAAATCCAGGTACCTCTTGGGACAGGACCTATACAATTCTGATCTCCTAATGAGTATGGGAAAGCATGAACAACCACACCTAGTGTTGTGTATGAAATTTAACCTGCACTACTTAATTGCGACCTGGGAACCATCTAGTGCAGCTGCCTGTGTGTGTGCAAATATGAATGTATGTGTGTACTTATGAGCTGTGTATACATGCTTTTTTGCCAAAGTATGTAAATTAAGCACTCCTGAATGTTTGTACATCTATATATGAGTGAACATGCACACATGCCTGGACGTTGGAGAGAGGCAGTGACTGTGCCCAAAGGGTAGGAGCGTGTTGAAGGAGGGAGCCCTTGGCTTACCTTTTCTCCACCAGTGGTGATTTGGCTTCTGCTGTATTTTCTGTGTGGGTTGGAAAGATGAAAGCTGCATGCACTTGTTACAGTGGTGTCTCTAAATGTTATTGCATGAGTATCTTGGGAGAAGGAAGACCACATCCAGAATATCCTCCTCTGCACCAAGGACAGCCCTCCCATTGCACACAATCCCAACTCCTCATCACAATCCCAGTCCTCACAGGGCAGGGGAGAGAAAACCTGGTCATGTAGGAAGATGCAGGGGAAGAAGCACATTGATGTCCAGAGCTGTGGGGGAGGGCCAGGATGGCCTAGAAGAGTGAGTTCAGTCAGCAGAGTTCCACCTGTAGAGAGGGCAGTGAGCCACTGCTACTGCTCACCTCTTCTCCTAACTCCTGATTCACCCTGGTGCCTGATGGGCTCTGGACTCTGACGAGAGGCACTTCATCATGATTTAGCAGTCCTTCTGACCTGGTAGGGATCCTCTGTTGCTTTTCCAGGCTGAAGTCGCCCAGCTGCAAGAACAGGTGGCCCTGAAAGATGCAGAAATTGAGCGTCTGCACAGCCAGCTCTCCCGGACAGCAGCTCTCCACGGTGACCACACAGAGAGAGGTGACTAGCTTGACTGTGACAAAATGCAGTTGTCTGGGTCCCTGGGCCTACTCTTATAAGTGAGCCTGTTTTTCTATAAATGAGTGTGCATAGGCTTGTGTGTGTAGCCATGCTAATGGACATGCATATATGTGTGCAAGCATGGCCAAGTGAATGGATGCACCAGTTTGTGTGTTTGTGTGTGTCCCTATAATGCAGCACTATTGTGGAATCATTCCCATGGAACTCTCCCCTAACTAGAAGGCTTTTTTCAGATGCACAGAAGTTCTGTGCAGCCACCTCTGGAGCTTTTACTGAAAATGCAGGAAATACCTAACTCTCTCATTTGATTGAAAGGCCTTACTTCTGTATCATCACCAAAGGGGAGGCTTTAGCAATTTATTCAGTCGTTTCATGGATATCTGCCTGATGCTTGTATAAGGCCCTGAGATTACAGAAACAAGTCAGTTCTTTTTCATTCTTGAGGTTTCAAATCTTACCTCTCAGAAACACCTTTCCTGGCCACCCTAACTCAAATAGGTGGTCCCAGTCCTATTATTCTCTAACTCCATATCCTTTCTTTTTCCTGCCTAGCACTTATTATAACTTACCAGTGTTGTGTGTTATCCCCACTGTGGGGCAAGGACTATATGTTTCTTGTTTAAGAGCATATCCACAAAGCCCAGCACAATATTCGGCCCATTGTAGAAATATTTCTTGTGGAAATATTTCTTGTGGAAATATTTCATTGTAGAAATATTTCCCTAAGAAATATTTCTTGAATAAGTGAAAGGATGGTGAATGGTCCCTGAGGAGTTCAAGTCTTGCTGATCAAAAATAGAGGATAAATCCTCAACTACTGTAATGAACACATAAATCTTTATGGCTGTTTGCCATGTATACAAAATGATCACACACCTTTCAACTTCTCCACTCACTACCAGGCTGCAGAGCAATGCTGAAGATCATATAGTCCTACGGGTTGGTGTCACTACCTAGTCACATCCTGGCCTCAGCACTGCTTAGCTTGGATCCCCAGCTGGGGTGTGGAAGCCATGCAACAATGGCTTAGGCTGGAGAAGGAAATTAGTTATCAACATGCTCATGCCTCTCCTAGCTTTTCTCAGTGTCCGCCCAAGCCATTGGCTGTGTTGCCTACCTGCCAAGGCCTGCTTGTAGAGGCTGGGCTCTACTAAGACACCCTGGACTATCTCTGATGCTAAGCCTGAACAGAGAGTGCCCCATGTCATGACTTCTAGGCCAGGCAGCCTTCCCAGTCTACCCCTCCTCTCCCCACAGTCTGAGCCTCCCAGACCCTACCCCACTCCATTACTGGGTACTTTCTAGAGCTGGTCCTTGGGTCATTTGCTGTCGAAGTTAGGTTCTGACCAGTGGATCAGGGTTTGCCAGTCTTCATATGAAGCTTACTGCCCTCCCCAGCAAAGTGAGCTGCAGAGCTGATATTAGCTACCCAGAGCCTAAATAATGAGCAAGCGATTATCCACTTTATTCTGAAAATTAATCTCCACAACTATTTACACGAAGTCCATAGATCTACTGTTGCTATTCTTGTTAGATGTAACAAGCATCCCAAAAGAAAATGGGAGGCCTATATATTCCCTTGACTCCTGTACTTTTTTTTGATGTAGACATCCCTATTCCCATTTAGGAAGAGGCATAGATCCTTCTTTGAACAATCTAGCTATGTGCCAATTCCTAGAGTATCTGGCAAATGACCTCCAGCTTCCTTAGGCTCTCCAAAACAGTTAAGGAATCAACAGAGTCCCTGTTGGGTCCAAACTGAGAGAAGGCTGCGGGTTTTCTACCGCAGACCGACAGATTTCTCAGCCCATAGGGAAATTCTGGTTTATGATGAAATTAGATTGTTTATCCTTAACCCAGCATTTGCATATATGTATATATCCCAATACATCTAAACATTTGTTAGTCAGTTTTGACTATATCATTTCAAATTAAGCCAAGTACCAACTCTTTTACATAATTTTTATTTCCCAGTCTTCACTCAACTGTAGATTCTTTTAATGTTAAATTCTCCTCTTCCTACAATTTGTCAGACTGTATGATTTTCTTCAAAGCCAACCAGAAGCCCAGGTACATGCCTACTCAAGTTGTAAAGGATAAAAATGTCTATATTCTTAGGAGATGTTGGTTTTGAAAGATTTTTGGCTTCCTCTGTGTCACCTCAAGTACATGGGCATTTTGATTTTGCCCATAAATGTCTGTAAAGAGAAGAGAGCATACTGGATTCCTTCATTTAGTAGTCTGGCAAATATTTAAAGAGAATGAGTCTGTGGCAGACACCATCCTGGCCTCTTTAAAGAACTAAAAGAGCCATGTTCACATGGAAAGTCTTCGTTTGAACTTGGGAGGCATCATAGCAAGTGTGGATAGCTGTTTGCATTTATATAAATAATTATTTCTATACCCGAATTCTTTTAGACCAAGAAATTCAACGTCTGAAAATGGGGATGGAAACTTTGCTGCTTGCCAATGAAGATAAGGTGAGATGGTCATTGGGTAGCCTTGTCTTTTCCATGCTTACATCCCTGGCTCTGTTTGGTCCCTGCTGGTCTCTGATATTCTGGACAGGGCCATACTTATTATGCCATTGACATAGGGGTATGTCAGGAGAATGACTTATGCCTCCTAGAGACCTGGCCTCAGCCACCTGTTTTTAGCTTTGAGAAATGGAAAGTTTGTCTAAATGGAATCTCCTAAAGGCAGATTATAGCCCTGCCTGTTCCTGCTGGTGTGGGGGGAAAAAAATACTGCTGCTGCTGTGATCACTGCCAATATCATAGCTCTTGCTGGAATTCCTAGCAAAATAGCCCCCCCAATCTCCCATATGCATGATCTGACAATAGAACCATCATAGAGACACTTGGCAGCATGCTGTGCCTCAGTTTACTCTGCCATCTTATATCCTTTGCATCTAATTTTGGCACAGTCATAAATAGCCACCTCTATAAATAAAGAGTACCTGGCTGGTATAAACATCATCTCTGAGGATCACAACCCTTCATTTTACAGATGAGGAAACAGACTCAGAGTACTTAAGTAATTTGGCCTAAGGTCAGGTAACTAGTAAATAGCACAGCCAGCTTTCACACCCAAGTTTATCTACGACCTGTGTGGTCTCCCAAGTTCCTTTCAAGGCCTTTGCCTTGAATGAAACAATCTTCTCTGGGAATTTACTCTGCAGTATGAGGTATCTCAGACTCCTAGGGAACAAATGAGTATATTGGGATAAATATGACAGCTTTATTTTAGTCTTTTTTTGTGTCGCTCCAGTGGGCAACACTAGGACCAGGAGGCAGATTTCAATGACCACTTCAGGAAGGTAGGAAGACAGTGAGTTGTGTGCTTCTGAAAATGTTTAAGCCCTGTGAAGGGTGTCTCAGATGACTCACAGTCTTCAGGTAGAGTCGTGAATGCCTGCAGATGCCTATGAGGCAGACCACTGAAATCCCAGCTCTGTGGAATGGGGCCTGGACACTCTTTTCCTTTGGTTCCACGTGGGATTTCTTCTCCTTGTGCCCAGAACATAGCGTGGGTCCCAAAATGAAATCATCTGAGCTGCCAGCGTAGCATTAATCTAAATCTCTGCTCACACTGTGGCAGGACCGTCGGATAGAGGAGCTTACGGGGCTGTTAAACCAGTACCGGAAGGTAAAGGAGATTGTGGTGGTCACTCAAGGTAAGAGCAAGAGCAATCCTATCATTGTCTCTGAAAGATATTCCATCAGCTGTGTTAAATCCAGGGGCAGTCCTGCTAGCAGCCATTTCACCTCTATTTCGGAGAAGACTCCCTACTGGAGAACAGAGCTGTTTAGACTTTTCTGCATGATGAGAAATTAGCAGTTGTTGATTTCCAGAAATATTACCAAATGGAAGTCAGCTCAGGGCCTTCAGGGACTATCCAGATCACCAAGAATATAAAGCCTGTGAATTCCCCATCCTTGGAGGGTCTCTTATGCACCTTCCCAGGACACACCTTAGAGGCAGCAAGTGCAATTAAACCTGGATCAAAAATCAACTCAGTGCTGTCATTGAGGATTAGAGCTCATCCACCTCCTAGAAAATCTAAAGCTCCGCAGCAGACTGAAAGGGCCCTCTGGGAGCCTTCTTCGAGTTGCTGGGCCTGAGTTGCTATAGGAAGTCACAGGACAGAGAGAGCTGCTGTGTTTTATATTTGCTGCCCAGACTGAATGCAACATGCAAGCAGCATCAGGGTTCTTATAGGCATAGTGGTGCATGTGCCAGGCTGCCTTCACTGTTCATGCCATTGACCTGGGCTCCCATCATAGATCCTGAGGAAGCAGCTGTTTCACAGCACAGGGCTGCTTTGAAGGATATTCAGGAACCTCTGATTCTGGCTGAGCTTCTGCCTCTTCTTGGGAAGAAGCCAAGCCTCTGCCAGGATGTGGCTGACTGGTCACTGACCAGGGCCTCTGCCAGCCCTCACACACAGCCCTCTTTTTTTTTTTTTTGAGATGAAGTGTCACTCTGTCACCCAAGTTGGAGTGCAGTGGCACAATCTCAGCTCACTGTAACCTCTGCCTCCCAAGTTTAAGCAATTCTTATGCCTCAGCCTCCTGAGTAGCTGGGATTACAGGCACCTGCCTGTAATTTTTGTATTTTTAGTGGTAATGGGGTTTCAACATGTTGACCAGGCTAGTCTGGAACTCCTGACCTCAAGTGATCCACCTGCCTCAGCCTCCCAAAGTGCTGAGATTATAGGCGTGAGCCACTGCACCTGGCCTCACAGCCCTCTTTTTAAGATCATGGCTCAAGCCACTCTCAGGGCTTTGATTGCCTGTAGCTAAGGAGTGAGAAGTTTGGAGGCAGGGGGTACCTTACCTCTGTTCTGCAAATAAACTTTGACCTTGAAATGATCCTGATGCCAGCCCTTGCTCAGATGCCCTGAAGATTCTTCAGAATCACACTCTTACTGTCCCTTTATATATTTCTTAGTCCTTCTTAATGAAGGGGAAACAATGTTAAAATTTTGCGGTACAATTATAAGTTTCTAAACAATTCACATAGTATGAATTCAACAATTCACTCTTACTGCATTAATGCTTGCAGGGCCTTCAGAGAGAACTCTCTCAATCAATGAAGAAGAACTGGAGGGAGGTTTCAGAAAGTGGAACACTACAAATAAGGGCCCTGAAGAATTATTTAAACAAGAGGTACTGTGTTTCCATCCATGATGTAGGGTTTCGGCAGCTCCTCCGAGCTTGCCCTGAGCTTGAGGGAGGATCTAGTCAGACATGTGTCAGGTACATATCTTGGCAGGTGAATACTTAAATTTAATAAAGTGCCCCTCAGGCTGTGGTGGGGATAGGGGAGCAAGAGGCTGAGGCTCTGGCCTGTGCTCTGGTTGGAGGCAGCATGGTGGATACTGGAACTTTCAAGGATAGGAGTTCTTCTTTTTAATCAGGCTGCTAGTTTATTTTTATCTTTTTTTTTTTCTCTGGAATGTAAGCATAGACCAAAGGTGGTGTTTGATTTATCTACCACCCTTTCTTCAAGGTCTGCAGTAATGCCTGATACCCAGTAGAATTCAACAAATATTTGTTGAATGAACGAACATGTCTTGCTCATTTAGAGGAATTAACTGCAACCTCTGAAATGCTGCGTTCCTTCCTGACAGATATGCCCTTCAGCCCCTATAGCCAGGACACAGATTTTCCTTCTCATCTATTTCGTTTGTTTAAAATCTGGTCCTATTGTATGACTCTCTCTAGACTTAAGCTAGATGCAAATAAACAAAACCTCAGGTGAAGGAGGGGCTTCAGCCTAGGGTCCAAAAGATTCCTGAAACTTCAGACTATCAAACTGAAAAGAATCTTAGTGCTTCAGTTCAACCTTTTTAATTAAGGAGCAAAAGCATCATCCAGTGAGCCAGTTATTGACTCAGAACAAGCACACCAGATTGCTGGCAATTACAGAATAGCGGTGTCCAAGTCTTACTGTATACCTCCATGTGGTCACTGTGATGAACAATCTATCTGGCAGAATCTGGGCTTGAACCCAGGTCTGACCACAAAGGCTAGGCTTTTAAAACTATACTGTAATGCCAGGGTTGTTCTTATAGTAGACCAAGAGGATGCGAGGATCTAGAGAAAAGAGGCAGTACTGGAGACTGTGCTCTTTCATAACCACCATTAGCTCAAAGTGGCTCCGCCTGTGATGCTAGGTGCACTACTGAAGGCACAGTGTTGTGCTAGGTGCAATACTGAAGACACGGGACTGTATTCTTTCATACCATCATTAGCTCGTGGTCGTTCCACCTGTAATGTTCTTTACTTTCATGCCTTAACCAGTTTTCATTTCTCAAAATTCAGCTCAGCTGTTCTCTCCAAAGCTTTCTCAGCCTTCCCATCAGTGAGAGGGAGCCCCTCTCTCCCACTATTCCCATATTGTGTTACAGATGTTGGAGCCAAAAGAACATTGCACATTGTTCTGTTCTCCTAATTTACTTGTCTGTCTCCCAGATGTGAGGAGTGCTAGCTCCAGACCTGGCACAGGGCCTGGCAGGGAGTAGATGTTGCTGATGTTTATTGGGTGACCATATCAAATGGGATTCTCTCATTGAAAGCAACAAAATTTGGCTCTGGCTAACCTAAGCCAAAAAGAATTGTTTTTAAAAGAGTGTGCAGTGGCTTGCTGAATGAAAGGAAAAGCTGAAGAACCAAGCTCAGGAAGGGAAGGAGCAGAAAAAGCCCAAGAACCCAGGTCTCAGGACTCTACTGCTGGGATTATGAACATGATCTAAGCTCTAGGGCCCAGGAAGGAGAGGCAAGCTGGCCCAGATGGACTGATAGGTCTACCACGCCCCCTTGGCATCTTGAAAGAGCAAGGCATCTATAATGATGTATCCACTATGGCTGTACCCAGGGAGGAAATATCTCCCTAAAAGGAATCATGTAAAGAAGGGGGAAAGATGGTGGGTGGTCCCCAAACAGACTGTCCTCTACCATGACTCTTCTGTGTCTGATGCAGATGCCTCCGAGATGTAGCTCTCCTACAGTGGGGCCACCTCCATTGCCACAGAAATCACTGGAAGCCAGGTAAGAGACCTGGGCATTTCCCCACAGCCACTGTGCTCTCAGGCTTGCCTTGGGGCTGCCGAAGTGGATGGTGAGGGCCATGAATGGTAAGCATGGCCACTGCATCCTAGGTGCACCTGCCCATCTGTTGTTAGGGCAGTTACAAACCAAGCCTACCTCTTTTGGCCACAGAGGGGCTTCTCATCCTTCAGGCTGAGGGTGTGGATCATTGTCACTGAGAAAGGATCTGGCCAGGGATTGGAGCGTCAGAGGAGAGGTGGCTGCAACTCATCTGTGTCTTACAACAGCTCCTCAGAGCTGAGAGCATCGTGTGATGTGTGTTGCTTTTGTCAGCCTCTGCTTCCTGCTCTTAGAGCGAATTTAGCCCTTTGGCAATCAAAGCTCTCTAGGGATGGCCATGTCTTCTCATAGCAATTGGTCTAATTGCTTTAGGGATGCTTCACAACAATGAACTAATAATGGGCTCACCTCTGAGGTCATTTGACTGCCATCTCTCTTGTTCCCTCTAAAATAAACCTAAATCTAGTTCCCTAGGCCTGCACTTTAGCACACATTTTGAAATTGAGCCCCATGTAAGGGTAACATGGAGGCTTCACTACAAAGAACACGCTGCCTTTCAGCTAAGGTGTTGGGGCAGATGTCCACAAGCATCACAGAAACTCCCCAGAATGGTGCTGAGTCTCCAGAGCCTGCACTCTGAGTCCACTTTCCAGAAAGCAGTTGTTCCCTTGAGCCTTTAGCCCAGAGGAAAATGGTAATGTTAAAGAAGTTGATCAGGCAATCCTTAGTTTTGGAGAATAAGAATTGTGGTTTATGAGTTCACTGAGGGAAAGTCAATACCAAGGAACTCAGACTGACCAGATTTACAAGAGACTAATATTTGTTTAAATGATGACTTATTCGTATAAACTGAGAAATATGACTGCCAAGGAGACTTGGCACAGGTTACCCTTGTGACCACTGGTGGCATTGCCTCTTGACACATTTGGTGCCCTTCTCTGCAAAATAGACCCTGAAAGAACCAAATGAGTCTAAGCAGACTAGACGGGCATGCAGATCCAGAGCAGAGTGTGGAAGGGTCCTAGCAGGTGATCTAGAGCCATGGCTGGCTAATGTGTTCATCTGCACTCTGAGGAGGCCCAGGTCCCTGGTCCCTGGTCCCTGGATTACTCTTAGAATCAGAGTAATCAGTGCCTTTCCGCTCTTTTGACACTGTAGACCTTGGTCTTTTATGACCACACAATTGTCACCTCAGTGCAGCAGAATTGAGTGTATTCTGGCTTTTTGTGCAATGTCAAGAACATTTCATTTGGATTTAAGTGACCCCCCCATGCCCTTGCTAACACATTATTGATCCAGTCTATCCCCCAAGGTGGGTCAGTCTCATTTTGTATGTAAAGGCTATTATGAGAGGGTATTTTTTTTTTCAATGACCTTGAACCTAAGCCCAAGACCACTGGTTAAGCATTTGAAATGGCGTCTGCATGAGTGATAACATGTACCTCCTTCTCATAACTATTTCTTTCTTTTGTGTTTTTTTCAGGGCTCAGAAAAAGCTCTCTTGTAGTCTAGAAGACTTGAGAAGTGAATCTATGGATAAGGTCAGCTCATCAACTTATCCTTAAAGATGACTGAGTTACTTTTTTGGGCCTAGCATAGTACTGGGATATATACAGGCAGGTCCTGGTCCCTACCTTGTAGAGGATTTTATAAAGTTGTGGGAGAACCAGGAATTACATGAACATTTTGAGAAAATTAACCAACTGGGTATGGCCCAAAGCATCTTATAGGAAGGACAATTCAGGAAATGCTGCCTGGAATTGATGAGAGAAGATGTTGAGGTCGGCAAAGCTTGGTTAGAGTCTGCCGGGTACCAGCAGGTTTTGGGAAATGGTGGGGAGTAGAACGAGGTAAGGTCAGAGCCATGAGACAGATCAAGCCAGGGAAGATCTTGACTACTAGTCCTATATCCCTGGGGCACTTGGGGACATCATACCAATTTTTAAATGATGAATTAATGTGAATAAAGGAGATGATCCCAAGGGAAGATGTGGGATCTTCAGGATGTTGGAGAGTGAGCTGTTGTAAGAGTCTATGGAGGAGGGTTTTGTGGCTCCTTATATGGGAGTAGCCCTTGATCATGTGGGTGGACCTCATCCTGCAAGGGATAGTAGCAGGCTCTTGAGCTTGGTCATTAGAGACCAAGGGAACCTGCCCTGATAGAGACCCTTCAGTGAGCCTGTGCTGCATACCATCCCTTGGTCTCCAATAATGTTCATCAGCCTCCTTGTTGATACAGTGGAGAACCATAAAGGCTGAAGTTGGCAGGAGCCCTGGGCTTATTCAATGGCTCTGCTCCCGTGGTCACGTGTCTCTTGGTTGCCATGGTCATGTTGCTGGCAGCTGCCCAGGACATCTGTCCATGGAGTGGGATGGGTGGGGATCTTTCCTGCCGTGGATGATGATTACTTGACATGAAGATGTGGAGGGAGGGGGTGAGCCTTTCAGATTTAAGCAAACAGGTAGTCCTGAGTTGTTGCTGTTTGTGAATAACACAAGTCTCTTTTTCTCCACATAAACGAAATCCTCTTGTTACTCCATAGTGTATGGATGGGAACCAGCCCTTCCCAGTGGTAGAACCCAAGGTACATTGACTTCATGCCCCATCACCTATTTGTGCTTACACTGTTTGCTAGTATTTTAACTTAGCACGTCATAGTTTTCATAACCTTAAAATGTGCTAACTGTAAGGAGTAAGAGGGCAAGAGGAAAGAAGCAACTTTTCTCTCCCATTTTAATTTTATGTGCACTCAGCTATTTAATATGCTTTCACTACCATTATCTGTGGGACAGGATTTATTATTATCACCTCCATTTTGTAGGCTCAGATAAATTAATCTTTAACAAAGTAATCTAGATTTAATCACTGGGAAGGGGACTGCTACGATCTCAGCACACTGAAGAATGTGATAGCTCTCATCCTTTCTGGACTGATATGTCATGGTTAAAAAAACACGAGTGTATACTCAGTCCCGCTTTGATGAACAAGTCATGTTATAAAAATTTCATTAGGACTGATTTTCTCCAGGGAAGCCTGTCATGGAAGAGGATTAAGTTTTTAGGCCAGTGCACAAATGTTGAGCCCATAAAGAAATGAAGATTCATATCATTAGCATTATTTCAGCCACACCCAACGACCATTTATAACATTATATGGAAAATGTATTGTGAGGCTGATGGCATTTCCCTTCTCTGTCCCCTGCCTCCATGTCCATATGAAACATGGAGCTTCTCATTGCTTTCTGACTTCTGCCTGAGAGGGTCATTTTGTTTTCACATCCATATGGTGAGTCATATGAGGCATCTCTGCTCCTCCACATCTGTGTAAGAGAAAGATCTTTTCTGCACATCTGCATCTATGTAAGGGGCTTCTCTACACTTCCATATTTGTAGCAGTTGGTGCTTCAAGTGGGCAGCCATTCCTTGGGCCATCTGAACTGTACAGCAAAAGTCTTCTGCCTGCTCCCCTGCCCAAGTGCTCTGGAACACAGGCCCTTGAGCCTGGTATTGGTGTGGTCCCTTTGTGAATTGAAAGGCTTCCTATGGAGACAGCTGTTAAATCGCTCAGCAGTCCCCCTTCCCACCTCAGCTTCACAGAGATCATTCACAGGTGTTTCTAAAGCACACCTGTAAGTGACCACCTCCTCCTTTGGAAACATGCCCGGCTCACAGGCTCAAGGTTTAAGATGCCAATTTGATTACCAAGAAATATGAGTGATGTGGGACTATTTATAAAGGAAAAAATGCTCCAGATTAAAAGATTAATTCTTATATGGTTTTGACCATAATCACAATCTTATACAACCTCAGTAATTCAACATGGTCACCCCTCTCCCCTCACCCACATACACCACTGTCCTCCCCAGAACTGCTCCACAGGTGCAGAACCGTTCCACAGCCATCTTTCTGCAGCATTCCTAACTTGGTATCTGGCCCTTGCTTAAACTGGCTCTTGCTTTCTGTGACTGAGAGCTCATTTCATTGTAAGACATCCTTTGTATTCTTTTCTACCTCTGTGAGCTTCTCTAAAATGTGCATCTGCTGATCCTCTCTCTCCGTGTCTAGCCCATGGAAAAAGTCAATCTCCTTTACTTCTGACAGCTCTGGAATTTAAGTCCCTCTTGCCCTCTCTGAGTGCTCTGTTCTCTGTGCTGAACATCACCTTCTCATGTGCATGGATCACAAGCCTTTCAAGCTGCTACTTAGTCTTCTTAGGATCAGCATTAGTTTCTCAATGTATTCTTCAAGTTGTGCCCTGGACCAGACTTGGAGTGTGATATTCTAGATGTAGTCTCACCAGCGCCTGCCTTGGTCTAAGGACTGCTCTTCTAGATTGCTGTTTCTTTAGGCCCTGGGTATGTGATATTTCCTGTGTTTTTCTCCTTATCCACTGTCCACTGTGTGCTAGGCCCTGTGGATATGTTATTTCCTGGCAAACTTGAGGCAGGAATTCTAATTCTCCATTTAGAAATGATCACACAGAGGTCCTGAGAGGTGGAAGAGAAAGAGCTTTGTCTGAGTTGGTCTGACTCAAAGCCTAGGCCCTTTCCATTCTGGAGTGCTGCTTCTCTGTTCTAATTTAAAGCAGCTGGATAATCAGTTCTATACTACTCCCTTGGCTGGGGCTTCTGTTCCCCCACAGCCAGGAGGATTGTTCTTTTTGGAGACTGGAGAAACAGAACTGGAGTTGAGCATCTGCCTCATGTCCTGACATTGCACTGCCTTCCACATCAGTGAGTCATTTCTTCCCAGCTCTTATTCTTGGCCTGAGCAGAGCTCAGAGAGTCCTTTCCATTGTCATTGATTCCTTTTTGCTATCTTTCTTATAGGTCTGGGCTGCCTTTTAAACCCCATCCTTGGGTTAGGTATGTGTTCTCTTTGCATCTCAGCTCCTCAGGGAGTTCCCCGGGTGGCCCACTTGGCTCCTTGGCTGTCTCTACCCCGCCTTGAGGGAGCATACGTGATGATGCAACCAGAAACCTGTTTTTGAGAGCTCTTCCCCCCTCCCATATGTCCTATATAATAGGGAGCTTGGAGTCATGTCCTTCAGGTCTCTAAAATTTTTGAACACTACCTTCTCACAGTCAGTGGTTCCTGGGTTTGACTGCATTAGTATAATCTGAGCTAATCTGAGATGCTTGTTAAAAATATAGACATCTGGGGTGTGCTTCCAGAGGGACTGAATCAGGGACTGGGCACAGGAGGGATCTGGGAATTCATGTTGTTTTACAAGTGCCGCAGGTAATTATGAAGAGCAGCCAGCACATGAACTACCATTTGGAAACTGTGGGTCTTGACCACATGTCTGATCATGTCTAATCTTTATGTCATGGGTCATCACAAACTTGAAAATCTCATGGCCTTCCTCTCTTAAGGTTCTAGTTACTTCTCCTCTACCAGCCAGTTCTTCCAGAATTCTTTCAGAATTCAGTTTCCTCTTCCTGTATCTCTCCTTTCTGAATTATTTTTAGGGAGTTATAGTCAATGAATGAACTGAATATCAAACAATTTCTAGGACATACATTTATAAGCAAATTGAATTGGAAATATATTGGATATTTGGCTTTTAGCTAAATGGAACTTCAGAAGATGTCTCAGTCACAGCAGCCTTCCATTACTGTTCTGACTTGTCAGTTTGAAATCTGTTTGTTTTTCATATTACTTTTCTTCTGGATCTAATCAGGTGATCCACAGCTGATTCCTGTAGTGACATTGCTTCAATTTCTCTTTTCTTTTATTCTCACTTTCACAGTACATTCCACTGTGTTTCTCTCGGGTTTGCAGATTTAGAGGCCATTATATGCCCCTTTACCAAATAAGTGCTATCTCCTTCCTCATTTAATCAACTTATTTCTTTCAGACCTTTCCATGGCCAGGGTCCAAGCATGGAGCTGGCTGCACTGAGGCTCTACCTCGTGCAGACTATGATCCTAAGTTCCCAAAAGACTATGATCCTAAGTTGACATGTAGTCCTCTGGCCCATTTCTTGTTGTCACCTCCCCCAAGAGTGTGTGTATCTTTATGCTTGCCTTAACATGATGTTTTTAAAGAAGCCATGATCACAATATACGGTTTTTTTCTTCTTTTGCTCCAAATTTAAACTATAATTTCTCTTCTGTACCATAGCCGCTCTCAGGCAAGATCCATATCATTTGTGCAGTTGGTCAGGCCCTCACAGAGATCTGCCCTTGCCTGGTCTGAGTAAGGGTCCCAATTAGCAGAAACACCTCTCTCCTCACCACAGAAAAGCAAATCTGGGAGAAACAGACTAGACTGAGCTCAGTTTCCTCTCTTGCAGGATTGTTATTTTACATATATTTGTATGTATGTATGATAAAGCACTAGGCAGCTTTTATTAGAATGCCAATTTTCATATCCAAAGAGCTTGCAGAGTAATTCATGGCTGTTAATTCACTGGGTCTCTGAGCACTAGGCCAGACAGCAAAGGCCCCTTTGCAAGACAACTTCACTTCCTATTAGAGGCAGTTGCAGTCAGCCCCAGATTTGCACTTGACTCTGTCCCTGTCTTACTGTGTGGCCTTGGAAAAGTTTCTTCCTTCCTTGGAACTCTGGTCCCTTTTCTCAGACTAGCTAAATAATCTTTGAGGGGTCTTCAAGTCACCATATGTGAAAAATGTCTCTTAGAAAACAGGGAGTTGTTCTGTATCCAAGGATTTCCTAACTGAGGCTGACAGCTAAGTCGATATCTCTCTTTTTCTCTCACCTTCCAATAGGACAGCCCTTTCTTGGCAGAGCACAAATATCCCACTTTACCTGGGAAGCTTTCAGGACCCACGCCCAATGGAGAGGCTGCCAAATCTCCTCCCACTGTCTGCCAGCCTGACGCCACGGGGAGCAGCCTGCTGAGGCTGAGTGAGTGTCCCGTCCTGGTGCTGGTGGCCTCTGAGCAGCATCCTTGGCACTTTCAGTGATTGTATAAGATCCCTGCACCTACCACCACAATCCACAGTTGGAGAATGGTGGGGTGGGTGGCTGGAACAAGTTGTACCTTGGGGTGGTCCCACCTCTAGAGGCTCCCCCTGGGTGAGCTGTTTTCTAAGGTAAGCATTCTACAGTCTCAGCAAACCAGGGTGTGTGTATCCCCTACTTCTTTTCAGCTGCAGCTTTTCACCCTCATTTCCTCTCTTCTTCTCTTCCTCCTCTCGAACCCCTTCCTGTCCTTCCTAGCATTGTTTTCCCTCCTCTCAGATACGCCCTTCTACCCTTCCTGCCCCTCGCGCTTCCTTCCTCTGTCATTCTGATCTTCTCTCTCCTGCCTCCACCTTCTTCTCTGCAGCTTCCCTATTCCCAGTAGGAGGGTATCATGCACTCCAGGTGGGAGCATTTCCTTAGGCAAATGGAGTCAGTGGCCAATGGGCAAGGGTGTCGGTCTACAGGTATCCTTTCGGTGGGTAAGACCTGAAACCACAGAGGCTTTTGCTGCTTTTCATTCAAAACAAGCCATCTTTCCCCACCAGCAGCAGAAGATTCAAAGGGCCCAGGAGGGAACATTCTGGTCCTGGCAGAGTTCTTCCTGAGGCTCCTCAGCCTCAGCTCTTCTCTGAGCTGGCCTATGCATTGGCCTCGTGAAGCCAGCTCTGCCGTTGGCTGCAGGAACTTCAGATAAGCCCTTGAATGAGTTCTAGTGACACTCAAACTGGACTCACTACGGCTTCAGATTGTTCTAGTGTGAGCTGAGTGAGCCCAGGCACCTGCACAAGAGCTGCCCATGACCTGGAGTATTCAGCCCCTGCTGCTGTCCCTTCCTTTCCCTGGGTGTGGACACCTCAGCCTGTCACAAAGGGGCACTGGGAGCACTTGGTCCCCTCACATGAAACCTCCTCTCAATGTCAGTCACCACTCACCCCATCCTTCTCCATGGGATTATTTTTCTTTCTGTTTGAGTTTTTCTCTCTTGCTCGATGACACTCTTTTGTTTATTTCTTTGCTTCCCCGTAACTCTGTGGGCTGGACTTTGGCCTCTCTTGTTTCTTCATGTGGCTTCTCTGCTTCTTGGTTCACTGGAGATCGTGGCCGGAGTGTCAGTGCCCCCGTATTAGGTACTGTACCCATTCCAGGTGAGATGGAGAGTGAGAATGCCTTTGTTTCCCTACCCTAACCCTCCCCCTCACCAACACTCAGCCAGGGTCCCACTACTGCCTGCATTCCTGCATCTCCCTCTGAGGAAAAAGAACAAGCTCCTTGTTGAAATAATCCACAAGTACTTTGGACCCCAAATCCTTAACATTAAAGACATTAGCTCACCTACATTTGAAATATTGAGCACACTAATTTCTCAGCAAGGAAGCCTGGAGTCCCCACTAGTCTCTGGGATCTTGGTATGGAGTTCTGCCCTGAAGGCAGAATTGGGCAGATTCTCTGGACTCCCACTGAAGGGGAGGGCCCAGGCTTGAGGAAGAAGGGTTCCAGAGGCTACATTCACGTTCATTGCCTTCTTCCAATCTCAGGAGACACAGAAAGTGGCTGGGATGACACTGCTGTGGTCAATGACCTCTCATCCACATCATCGGGCACTGAATCAGGTCCTCAGTCTCCTCTGACACCAGATGGTAAACGGAATCCCAAAGGCATTAAGAAGTTCTGGGGAAAGTAAGTTGGTGCTATTGATCCTACTAATTATATTGCTTTGAATTTTTCTTTTTGATTGGGCAAAGAGTCTATGTAAGCCCCTGGTCCATTAGACATTGAAACAGCAGTCAGAACAGAGTGTTCATGTTTAAAGAGAAGAATCTTAGATATTTTTCAGGGCCAAGAGAAGGAGAAGTATGAAAGGCACCCATTAAATATATCCAGTTGGCTTTCGTGTCATGTATCCTAGGCAGCCACCCATTCCACACACCCTGAACATAGTCCCTGCAGCTACATGGGCTTTGGGACAGACACAGATGAGACTGTATTCTCCCTTCCACAGATGAGACTGTATTCTCCCTTCTTAGGAGTCAATCTGTTTTAAGAAATCCTTGAAAAATCTTTGAAAGCCAAGTACTTGCTGACCCAACTGATCCACTTTGTGACATGAGGCAGAAACTGGGGCCTCCTACAAGGCATCAAACTTTGCTTTGACCTTTATAGCAAGTGACCAAATCCCAGAGGCAGGATTAGAATTGAGGCTTGAGTCTGGCGGAGGAGCTGCAATAGGTTGTGATCCTTGATCTCTAGGAAGGTACTGAGAAACAATGCTGCGCAGAGTCCCTGTGCTGGCCTGCATGGCCTTGCAAAAGAGGAGGCACAGTGACTGTAGGCTTTCCAACTATTCCATGACAGTCTCCATGGATTCTTCTCCATGCAGAATCCGAAGAACTCAGTCAGGAAATTTCAACACTGACACGCTGGGGATGGCAGAGTTTCGACGAGGTGGGCTCCGGGCGACCGCAGGGCCAAGACTCTCTAGGACCAGGGACTCCAAGGGACAGAAAAGGTAAGGTTCCCTCCAGTCCATCTACAAAAAGTTGTGTAAAATCCCAGCCAGGGTGGAGTGGGGAGAGGGTGCTTGTTGTCCCACAGCCTCCAGAAATAGAAGCCAGGAATCCTTAGTGTGGAGCTTCTCAACTTGCCCATTCAACATGCATGGACGTTGCTCCATGCATGTATGCTGAGGTATGCTGAGGTAAAGATAAGAAGTATGCTGAGGTAAAGATAAGAAGCTCCCTACAGCTGGAGGTAGGGAGCTAGGGTAGAAGGGTGGGCCCTTGGGCCTCCCTGAGCACCTAAACAGTGCTACACACGTATAACCCATTCTCAGCAGTGGGTTTACACACTAGATGGATAGCCTTGGTGTAGCCAGGAAGAGCACAGATTCTAGAATCCCAGGGAATTCCTGGGAATCGCTGCTCAACCACTTCCTAGCTGTGGGCTTTAAACCGGGTTATACAGTATCTCTCTCTATGCCTCCATTTCCTCACTTGTAAAGTAGATGTCAAAAACAATTGTTTTATTAAAGTTATTGTGAGGATTACATGAGCTACTACATGAGCTGTCTGCCATTCAAGAGTCAACAGCCTCTAGTATATTCGGGAAAGTGAGCCTTGTCTCTTACCTGCCTCTGGGTCAGCTCCATCCTTCCACAAAGACTCTGCAGAAAGATGTTGGTGGAGCTGGCCACACCTGCCACTATTTTTCATAATCCTGTGCCAAACTTTACTGTAGGATGTTAACTAAAGGGGGTTACAAAGGGATGGCACTGGAGTCAAAGTGGGAAGTTTCATGTCACTTTTCCCATCATACCTTAATACAAAAGCATAGAAAATGTTAAACTTCTCCAGAGGTGTCCCTGGTGGAAACCCTCCAGTTACTAGCTTTACCCACTTTCCTTTAATCTCCCTGCTCTGAAAAAGAGTATCTCTCCTCAAACCTGCACAAGTGAATCTTTACTACTGTGTTTTGGGGAAACCCCTTTCCATATTCTCTTCCCCAGTCAAGCAGTCCCTACAATAACATCATCTCCAGCACAATATCTCCTAAGTTCTGAGTTACTCAGCCAAGATCAGTACTCCTGAGGGCCTTCCACAGGATTTGAATGTGACATTTTATATCCAACCAAAAAGCAAAAAGTAAGCTGTAACTCTCTTCAGTTTAGTCCCCTCAAGATTGCCGTATACCAATGGAAAGTACAGGTAGTTGCTGGTTAAGATGTGTATAATTCAAATATCCGTTCTCAGAAATAATACAGTCTAGATTCCAATTAAGGAAGTAAAGCCATTTCCCTAAATGCATCATATTGTTTGCAGACCTGCATCCCCTGTGGAAGGAAGCCTTAGCTTATTTTGCACATGGATATGATACTCCACTTCCCCAGCTTGCCAAACAGGTTTCTAGTCTTACCAGGTCCTCCTGGTGCATGAGACACGGGACCTTTCCAGATCCATTTATTCTTTGAATGAGTATCCCCAGACTCCAGGTACCTTGAAAAGAAACATGAGAATGTGTAGACCACTAGCTTTTACAGGCTAGAGAATCTAAGGACACAGTCTAAGTAAGTCAGAGACCAATTCAGAGCCCTTAGAAACTGAGCCAGAGAAAGCTTACCTGTATATTCAGTAATTAGATATTCTAATTTACTTAGCAATTTTCTCAATGTAGATATTACTGTTGTTTCTGATTTATGTGAGCTGAAAAAACATCAAGCTATAGTAAGCTTGAATGATTCATCCTTGTTTGAATTCTGGCTAGTTCTTGAAGGATTGATTCTAGAAGGGGAATCATTGGGTCAGGGTATAAAAACTTTCCTAAGACCCCTCAGCATTGTCCCTAGAGTAGGAGAGCATGGTTAGGGAGCTCTCTGTATTCTGACAGTCACTTTAGGGTGTGGGATGACCAGGGTCAGTAGCTTTCTTTGCCAAAGGAAAAAACTGCAGTTCCAGCCCCAAGGCTGCTTTGTTCGAATGTCTTTCTGCTTTATTAACCGTAACAGTGGATGAGAAAGGGAAGAAGTGTGAATAGGTCCTGATGAGATTGCTTTGTTTATCGTAACGGTGCAAAATGAATTTGCTGGTGGAAAAGAAAGGCCTTTATAACTCTCAAGTAGAAATTTGATATATGTTAATGTCCCCTGGTAATATTTATAATTTCTAGATATTAATATTTAGGTGTAGCTTTAAAACTGTTGTTGCTAGTATTCTTTAGGAAAAGTACTTTGTTACTGAAAGCCTCCAGCCCCAACCATTTTTTGTTCAATAAAACAATTGATTTTTTAAAAAATATGAGAATTGGTAACATTGCGTAGGCACTCTCTTTCAGATTATGGACAAACACATTTTATTTGCTTTCTTCTCCCAGGTAAAGTTTTACAGAGTTACATACCAGTCAGCACTGCTGGACAGAGTGCGCCTATTACACCCACCTCCTTGTCAGCATTAAGTATTTACATTTTTCTTTTTCAAAGTTTTCTACTTTTATGAAACTCCAAATTTCCTTTTTATTGGTAATTTAGTTTTCATGTTTGTCATTTTAATTCTTTTGTGAATTATCTGCATTTTTGTTCATTATTAATGTATTTCTTATAGATTTCTAACTGTTCTCTATTAAGATATTAAGTCATGTCTAATAATTGTGACATAGTATTTTTAGGTTTGTGGCAGAATTTTACTTTTGTTTCTGATACTTTGATACATGGAATTTTTATGTTGATATAGAATTAGGTTTATCCACTTTGTGAATTCTTTCATTTTGTTTTAAATTTTTTCTGTGATTTTTAAAAACTTTGAATAATCCATTTAGGAATTATTTTAGTTTGTGAGTTTATTATGAGTTACCGTTTTTGAGAAAAAGGCAGTAAAGTATAATGTTTAAGGCAAACAGGCTCTAGAGCCACATGGCTGGATCCCATCTTTGCAGAGTGTTTTTTTCCTGAGTTGATCTACTGAGTGTATTGCCCTTCAGGATTCCAGCTTTAGGAGAGGTCCCCAATCCTACTGCTCCCCTACCTTGGACCCCTTTTTGTTTCCTTTTCCTACACGCATAGTGAGTCAGATTCATCATGAATGTAAAGATGCTTAAGCTTCAGGGACCCTCCTTTGTACGGAGCCCTTCCAGGGTCCAGAGAGAGTCTGATCATAGTGTTAACAGGGCCAGGTGTTTTGAAAATTTTGCATAAAAGAGGTATTTTAAATACAACCAGTTTTAAGACTGCTGACTCTTTTTACTGCAACTTTCCCTTGATCTATGCTTTTCCTTATAACAGATGGTGTTAGGGCAGCTGTGGGGATTTTGGGGGACTTGTTAAGGGGAAGTTAGCCTGAGGATACATGTAGTTTGGGTTTAGGGTGGGATGTGTGTGTTTGTGGTTTGCAGTCACTGCATGTTTAGTTTAGTTAGGTTTAATTCACTAGCTTTCCTACTGCACAAATGGCTTCCAGGATTTCTTCTACTTCCCATTGTGCCGATTCGCTCAGTGCTCTGTACTCACTTATGAACTGTACAATTATAAATGTGCCACGTGCTCTCCCCCTACCATGAGAAGAGCATATTTGAGAAATCTCAGCTACATCATTTGAAGTGCAATTTGAAAAGATGTTTTGGAATGTGTCAACAAAACAAATGGTTTGGCTATATATGAAGGGCATCTTCTCTGTCATCTCCAAATTATTTCCCAGCGTGTTCAGTGGTGCCCTGGCTGAGGTAGGAGATGCTGGCACTGAGAGGAGCTGAGGAGGAGGTGCAGAAGCTGGGTCTGATTCTGTGTGAACACTTCAAGGCTTAGGAGGGAGGAGAGGATTCACAAAACAAAAAATGGGAAGACTACTGGAGATGAGGCCCAGAGCTCTAGGTGGTTTTGAAAAGGTCAATAGGACAGAGGTTTTCCAATTATGATCTCAAAAATACTTATTTCCCCTTTAGAGCTGAAATGTTAGGTTCACAAAGACTAGGCAAAAAATAAAAGTTAAAAAATTTAAAAAAGAACTGAAAGGTCCCTTAGATATGTTTGTTTTTCCCACTTCCAAGAAACAAGGAAACAAATGAAATAAAAACCAAATAGAATATAAAACAAAAGTGATAAAATGAACATTGAAATTTAAGAGAAATTACTTTCTTACATTAAAAAACAAATTATAAACAAAAAATCCAGATCATACCAAAAGCATAATTTGCTAAGAGCAAGAGGTAAGTTTTAAACAAAAAAAGTGAATAGCCTTCTAGATTGTTGTTCATATAAGATGAATGATATGAACCCACTGGGAAAAGGTTGAAATTTCTTGCTGAGTTTACATGATATACTGACAGTGACAAAGATAACATAAAACTCATGTACTGCCACAAGGACATAGACAACACATGAGTTAAATGAATACTGTCAATTCAAAGAATGTTTAAGATTAGCCATAGCATTAGAAAACTTGAATGCATTATAGTTTTACAACTTACATATAAAAGACATTTGATAGAGGCCTTTCTAAATTTAAATGATTCTAAAAATGTACATGACCATACCAGTTATAAATTGTGAGACAAAACTTTTTAACTATTATCATAAAAGATAAATATTGATCATGTTAGAAGACTAAATCAACCATCTGTTGTCATAGAAAATATTATAAAGTTGTGGACATATAAAGAAGCAGTCAAAGAGTATCCACCCAAAATATGAGAGTCAAAAAGTACTATAGCTGGATACAGTGGCTCAGACCTGTAGTCCCAGCTACTTGGGAGGAGGCAGGAGGATTGCTTGAGCCCAGGAGTTCAAGGCTGTAATAAGCTATGATTACATCCCTATACACTCCAGCCTGGGCAGCAGAGCCAGACCCCATCTCTAAAAATAAATAATTACTAAAACCCTGTCTCTAAAATAAATATCCCATCTCTGAAATAACAAATACCCTGTCTCAAAAAAGAATCAAACTATAGAGGTATCTCAAGCTTTTATATAATAAAATATTTCTACATTTTGTGATTTTTTTCAGTTTTGCAAAACTTGCAATTTTTGTGGCTTGTTTTCTAATTCTAAATATTCCCTTTGTTTCTAATTACATATTCAAATTTTATACTTTTTTTGAAGAGAAAATTTGTAAGTTCCAGGCCTCGTAAAACATTTTCAGGACCCATGAAAGCCCAGGTTCCAGATTATGATTGATCAGTCCCTGTCACAGGGTATACATCATCTCTAGCATTTGTTCTAAAATGGGGCATTCTTATCATGCTTATCCTTTAAGGAATTCCCTCACTTTAAGAACAGCTCAACCAGGCATTTAAAAAAATATGTTTTAATCTAGTATGTTAGGGCTACTTTGAAGGACTCTTTCTGGTCTTTGAAGGAATATCTAATCTTCAATATTCTATAAATCCTCATTTATGAACATAAAGTTGCTCTGTCGAATCCCCCCCTAAAAAAAATGACTCTATTGGTATTTTTAGTGTGCTATTATATTCACACTTTAAATGAAAAATGGATGTCTTTAAGAACTGATGGCTTTATAAAACCCAGTCATCCTGTCTAGGAACATAATCTAGCTTTTCATTTATTCATGTCCTTTTTTATGTTGCTCAGTTTACTGTTGTAGTCAATACCTCTCCCCACCCCCGCAGTCCCCACACATAATCACACAAGGCCAAACATCTCTTGTTAAGGCAATTCCTAGACGTTTTATGATGTTGGTTGCTATGAGTGGGATTTTTAAATTGTTTTAACAGCATTAGTATCTGTGCATTGATGGTATTAGAAAATTGTTATTTGTATTGTAACATATATGTTACATATGTTTATATGTGCATTTCATAACTGGCCATCTTACTGAGCTTTCTTGGGTTTTCTAAATGGGCAGTCCTGTCATCTGTAAAGAATGGCTTTATTTCTGCCTAATAGCTATATTTCTTGTTCTTATTTATCTCTAATACTGGCTACGACTCTCAGACCAGTGTTACTAGCACTGATAAAAAACATATTGTCCTTTTATTGAATTTAATGTGAATGTTCCTCTTGTTTTGTTAATAAGTAATGTGTTAGCTGTTGTTGATTGGAAAGTTTTTGCTTTTAGTTTTTGGTGTGTGTGTTTTGTTTGTTTGTTTGTTTGTTTGTTTTATGTTAAGAGAACTGACCCTCTTAAATGCTAAGAAAACTAGTTTTCTAAGCATTTTCCTAAAAAGATGATTCCGCCTAATGAGGCCACAGTTCTGGGCTTGTGTCATGTATATGTGTGTATGTGCACCCAGGACATGTGAACGTGATCTCAGGAGGGTCATACAGGCTGCCCCATTCTCTAAGTAGCCTGAGATTTGAAATTCAGATCTTATGTTATTAAGAAAACTCTAGGGTCTTCCTCCTATGAGTGTGTTGTAGTGGAATTTTGTTCAACAGAATTTCACGATGGAAGTTGTTTGTTAAAAAACAGGTTTTTTGTTTTGTTTTGTAAGACATGATTAGATTCAGAACCTCAGGCTCTCCCACTAACAGGAATATGCTGTTTTCCTGCTTCCCAGTGACGCCAATGCCCCCTTTGCCCAGTGGAGCACAGAGCGTGTGTGTGCATGGCTGGAGGACTTCGGCCTGGCTCAGTATGTGATCTTTGCCAGGCAGTGGGTATCTTCTGGCCACGCTTTATTGACAGCCACCCCTCAGGACATGGAAAAGGTAAGGGCTGAGCTTGGGGAGAGGAGGCGCCCATTTCTTCCCAAACCAATGCATGGGGAGGGCAGGGTCCGCCACTCCTGTCACACACACAGGAGGATGGATGAAGGAGGGTGATAGTCCCTCTGTAGCTACAGGTTGGCATCCCAGGGCACGGTGCAGAGATCCACTGCCATACTCTCAGAGCATCTCCACCCACACACAGCTTTCTCTGAGGACCAAATTGCCTGCCAAAATTTCACATGTGGTCTTCATCTTTTAATTTCAGGAGCTAGGAATTAAGCACCCTCTCCACAGGAAGAAGCTTGTTTTAGCAGTGAAAGCCATCAACACCAAACAGGAGGAGAAGTCTGCACTGCTAGACCACATTTGGGTGACACGTAAGGACAGGCATATATATATTAAGTATGTCTCTGGCAGCAACTAAGAGTAGAAAGAATTTCCCTGTTAAATGGGTACCTCAAGGACAGCTGTCTCCTTGTAAAAGGCAGAGGAATTACTAAACTTTTGGGGGAATAACACGAACCTCAAAATATAATTTGCTCCCCTTTTTTTTTGCATCTACATTCTCTGATTCTCATGAATCCTGACACTTCTGGGGTTTTTGTATTTGTAGGGTGGCTTGATGATATTGGCTTACCCCAGTACAAAGACCAGTTTCATGAATCTAGAGTTGACGGACGAATGCTGCAATACCTAACTGTGGTGAGGACTTTTTCTTTCAATTTCAGTTGTCCCTGTGAGCACTCAGCTCACATGTACCCATAGTGGTCATTCTAAACTTGATTCCATATATTCTTAAGGCCTTGAAATAGTATCATTTGTCACAAAAGAGGTCCCAAGTAGCAGAGTACAAACCACTGTGATAAGCTATTGGTGTCTCCGCGTGCACCTTCCTGAGATGTGGTTGACTTGTCTATGTTTGGTCTCGTAAGGGACATCAGAGGTCTTTTGTCACTTTGGAAACTCTGGTGTATCAACCAAACTTTCCTCTTTCAGAATGATTTACTCTTCTTAAAAGTCACCAGCCAACTACATCATCTCAGCATCAAATGTGCCATTCACGTGCTGCATGTCAACAAGTTCAACCCCCACTGCCTGCACCGGCGGCCAGCTGATGAGGTGAGACCACAATAGTATCTCTCCAGGTAGCCCTGAACCAGGACCTCTGAAACATCGACCATGAGCAAACAAGAATGACATCATAAAAGCACTGTTTTTTGGATCATGGTGCCTGGGATTCTTTTGTTTGCTTGTGCTTCCTGGTGCCCCAAACACCCATTACCTGTACTTTGTGTCTCACAGTAGCCATAGACCTCTAAGCTCCCACCCTCCACTGGGGAGACACGTGCTATAAAGTCATCATAGTGATTAAGGGAGATGAGTATATGGTGCAAAGGAGAGGGAGACAGAAACAAAAAATGGACAGATGGGTGTCACAGTAGAAAAGAAGAGACAGAGGAGAGGGAACAGGAGCCCATAGAAGCTAGACATTTCAGAATAGGTATCCCTACTTCTAGATCCAAAATTAACTGACTTCCAGGCCCAGGTACAAGGGATCCATGAGCAGTCTTGCTACAGAAGAAACAGTATAGGAAAATAACAGCACCCCAAGTCATGAAGAAATAACTGATTATGTTCCATGAACTTTGGAGTTCTTGGTGGACCCTCAAACTGAAGATTGTCAGTCACATCCTATCTCCTCTGTTCCTGGGAACTAGGTCTAACCTTGATATAAAATTAACTCAGCTTCCTAGGCTGTTACCTTTGCCATCTATCTCCTATTTTCTCCTTGTTCAACCAACATGTTTTGAATGTCTTGTATATGTCAAGCACAGCGCTGTGCATTTTTAAGACCACAGTGCTAGGTGAGAGCACTTAGGAATAAGTATCTTAAGGTGCGCTCCCCTAAAATTGTTGGCCATGCCAGGGAGATCTTTCATCTGTAAACCACTTGGATTGTAATTGACAGTCATCTTTAAAGTTCTATTGAATCACTGAAAGAATAACTATAATGTCCTCATTTATTTGTCTCAAAGTTAGCCAGAAAATGAGGGAGCAACAGAATTCTGGATTCAGGTATCTCAGTGTGGAAGATCTTGCAAGATTCAGTGGGAGCTCTGTTTCCTGGAAATTGGGGAGGCTGGTGCTCTGGCAGATGGGGTGGGTCACTAAGCTTGAGGGTCTTCTATTGTTGTGATGCGTCTGGGGCAGGGCTACTTACAGGGGCTGACTCCACAGAGGACCACGGTGGGACCTATTAAGCCTAACTTCCTCACTTTCCTCCCTCTGACAGAGTAACCTTTCTCCTTCAGAAGTTGTACAGTGGTCCAACCACAGAGTGATGGAGTGGTTGCGATCTGTGGACCTGGCAGAGTATGCACCCAATCTTCGAGGGAGTGGAGTCCATGGAGGCCTTATTGTGAGTGGCTCTCTGGCCTAGCCCACCTGCCTTGGTGCAAATGGGATATTCAGAAACTTATTTATTAAGGACAAGACATAAAATCTAACAAAAAAAATAGGTACTTCATCTGAAGCTCTTGCATAATTTGACATCTCAAAGTATTTTGATAACTTGTCCTTGAGAATTAATATACCTCATGGAAGCAAGATGCCTTCTGGCAGCACCTCCTTGGCATGAGACCTGAGGATTCTAGGTCAATGGGCTGCATGAAGACCAACGCTTACAAGGCAGATCTGCCTGTCCCTGAGTGGGGCTGGGGAAGGGACTGGGAAGCCATAAAAATGCAGCTTCCCACTTGCCGCAATATGATTCTTATCACTACTCAGATCTGTCAGTGACAAAGCCAGAGGGGAAATGAGGAAGTGTGGTGGCTTGGATGTCATCCAGAGGAGATCCTGAGAGATAGCCTTACCAAAGAGGTCCCAGTTCTCTGCTGCTCTGTGAAAACAAGGTGGTCAGTCAGCAAATGTGCTAGTGTGTGCTCAGAGTCAGGTCCTGTGCCAGCCAGTGAGAGGAGTGGGACTCAGACCAAGTGACTGAGCTCCTGCCCCTGCTCTGGAGGTGCCCCCAGCCCAACAGGCCAATCTCTCGGCATCCTCCCCTCGAGCCATTTGTATTTGCTCCTGGCCAGGTTTGTTTCTGGTTCCTTCTTAGATCCTGGAGCCGCGCTTCACTGGGGACACCCTGGCTATGCTTCTCAATATCCCCCCACAAAAGACGCTCCTCAGGCGCCACCTGACCACCAAGTTCAATGCCCTGATTGGTCCAGAGGCTGAACAGGAAAAGCGAGAGAAGATGGCCTCACCAGCCTACACACCACTGACCACCACAGCCAAAGTCCGGGTGAGTTGCAGACCCTTTCTGAGTGGGCCCTGGGCTGCCTCCTGGCCCTCAGGCAGCACAGCACCTGGCTCGATGCCCGCAGCCAGAGCAGCATGCGCAGCCTGGACAAGGAGGATCTTGCAGCTTCTGCTGTGGTCTTGTGGTCCGTTAGGCCAGTCTTTGTTAAGCCAGTTCTCCACCAGTTTTGAGTCCAAGGAAGACAGTGCAGGTTTCTTTACCTAGAAAATATGTTCAGGAAGCACCTATCCTCAGGTGACTTAGAGCTCACCCTCTACCCCATTGCTGCCATGACTCATCTTGCGGAGCAGAAGTGCTCCGAGTCTGGCTTTCCTTCGGTCAGGCCTGCCTGCGTGCCGCAATGCCGTGGGATCTTGGCCAAAGCTGTCCTGCTGACATAGGAAGTGTTCCCATTGGAAGCTGGTTCCATTTGTCTTGCTTTGTGACGTGGCCAGCACACAGATACCCAGAGGTCCCAAGGTCTTCCAAGCACCAACGCTACTCACTGGGGCTCCCAGAATCCCACAAAGCCCTTTAGACCTGCCTGAGCCACAGCATCCTCAAACCACATTCTTCCCAGACTAAAGACCCACAGGCAACCTCTGGAGGCCAGGCTGGTCCTATCCCTGGTAGTGTTGAGGCTTCATGCCCAGCTATAACTCAGGCACAGACCTCGTTCCCCAAGGGAGCAGGACAGGAAGTATGTCTGGGGGAGTCAAGCAGAAACAGTGCTGTGTGACGCTAGGGCAGGGAGCAACCTGGGGCTATCCTACATGCCTTTAGATGGTGCCAGGTGCTCAGATGGGAAAGGGTTGGGGTGCCAGTAGCTGTGCTGAGGCAAGTTCTCTGTGCTTCGCCTCAAGTGCCGACCTCAAGTACATTCTAAAGAAACTCCCAGTTCATCTATGGAAATAAGAAAGTCACTTTGGTGGGGCAGCCAGGCATGAGTTTCTGGCATAGTATTGGAGGGGCAGCTCTTATTGTTCAAGATTATTTACCTGTTGGCCTTTCTGCAGCATATAAATTGCTTACAAGAGCTCTGTTTTGTTCAGAGTCTTTCTAGGAGCAGTTTACATCATTCCTCTCCTTGCGGGCCTGCTCTTAAATTTTAATTACATTGTCAGTCATACCTGCACACTGCCCTGATTGCCTTCTCATAATCTTACATTTGCTGTGTTTTAGCCAAGGAAACTAGGATTTTCACACTTTGGAAACATAAGAAAAAAGAAGTTTGATGAATCGACGGACTACATTTGCCCAATGGAGCCTAGTGACGGTGTCAGTGACAGTCACAGGGTCTACAGTGGCTACCGGGACCTCAGCCCCCTTGATGCCCCTGAACTGGATGGGCTGGACCAGGTGGGACAGATTAGCTGATGCCCTTGTCACCTGCCCTCTGTGCACCCTGAGAGCTCACAGTAACACTGTGTCACCATATAACTGCACCTCACCCCTGCACATGTGCATGACTCGCAGAGAACATTCCAGCAATTGTGTACCCCTGGGCCAGTCTCTCTTTGAACTCTGAGGGTGGCCAGGATCTGGAGCTGCATCTCTAAGGGGCCAGGCTTTGGGGACCATTGTCAAAGGTGGACTCAGCAGGAAAGACACTTAAAGACACCTTTACATTTCTAGTAAGTCTTGATGTTCATCTTCAGCACCAGTGGAAACACATGAACTTCGATGCAGGTCCAGAGACCATGGACACTCCCACGAGGCTCAGCTCTCAGGCACCCTCTATGCTTCAGTTGAGGGAAAAGCTCAAGTGCCTTAGGCCCGTGGGCCACAGTCTTGGCTGAGATCAAAGGGATGAGCCACAGTGACAGTGGAATTGTGTTGTGCCTTACTTCAGAGGTGGTCTCTTCTTTCTTGTAATAAAAGCAATATTTATGTGGAAAGCAAGAAGTGCAACATATCTTTAACTTTGTTGGGGAAACAGAGCTGAGGGTAGCTGGAAATGGAGTCCTACCAATTGCAGAGCTGAAGAGCCGATGGCACTGAGCCTGGTCCTCAGCCAGGTGCAGGCTCAGGATTCACTAGGGGGTAGAACAAGGCGGGAACCCCTCCCATAGCCTTCAGAGGAGGTCTGTGGCCTCAGTGCTCCAGAATTTGCTTCCCTCTGTGAAGCAGAGGGGGCTTCGTGTCTCATGCACGTCCTGACCATACGGCACATCTGTCGTGCAGACCTCAAAGCTGATTGGTTTTAGTGGCATGAGCCCCCTCAGTGAAGGGGATGGTGGGGAGATAAGAAGGGCACCTTGCTGGAAAGACTCTCTGTTCTTTCATGTGTTTTTCTGGCTTCTCTATTACTGACTTAGCCAGGCTCATAACCATGGTGGGGGCTGGTCTGTCTGCTGGCAGAACTGAAAGAGATCTGTCCCCTTGATTTAGAGACAGACTGACTGATAATGGCTCCTCCAGATGGGCCTTGTCTGGCTGGGACTGAGGGAGAGACGTGCCTTGCCAGTCTGGGCTCCTGGTCAAGAGACTTTAGTTTGCCCCCAGGCAGCGTTTGGCTCCCCTCAATCCCCTGGGCCTCATCGCAGAAAAGTAATACCACATCACCGCCATCTGATGGCCTGGGCATGGCCTGATGACCCCATTCCATTGTGGCACTCTGATTCTGTCCCAGATGGAGGCTATGCTAAGATTCGCTTCTTAAACTACCAGCAGCCTCAGGCATGGTCTGTTGCCACAGGAGGTGAGAGATGTCGGGACAAGCTTGCCAGCTGGCAATGCTGCTGTTAGATCCTGGTACCCAGGTCCACTGGATGAGAAGTGCTCATTCAGGCTGACGCCTGGCCATTGGAGTTGTAGAGCCAGTCAGGGCAGGCTTTGTCCCTTGCTTCTTATGTCACAGTACAGGGATCTCTGCATGTGCCTCTTTTCAAAACCTGCATGGAACTGTTTTGCCACTGATTCTCTGCACCCTCAAGTAAGTCCTGTTCCCTTTGTGGGCTTCAGTTTTCCTACCTATAAAACAAGGGAGGGGTTACACTTGGTGCCCTCCAAATTTACAGAGGATGCTTCCAAATCTACAGTGTCTAAGTAGGTTTAGGGAAGAAGGAAGAGACCAGCATTACCTGAGAAGGAGGGGCAGGAGGGAGGCTCTTGAGTAGTGAGGAAGGATGCCCACCTATGTCAGGGCATTGGTGTCTGAGCTTCTGTTGCCTGGTTAGTGTGAGTCTGTTTAGCATCCTGAAGGCCTTCATTGCTACTGCTCTCTGCTCCTGGAAATAGCTGGAACATTGAATACGTGCAGAAGGGCTGCTTCTGACAAGCCTGTGTCCTGTCTCTGTGTACCCTGAATGCCAGTTCCCAGTGGGGCCCCAGGAGAGGTATGCATGCAGTGTGGGACATTGATGCCTCTCCCCAGGAAACAGAAGCAGCCTGTGCTCCACCCACCTGTCACTCCTCAGGGCCCGGCCCCCTCCTTGCCCATCCCTCCAGGGAAGCATGCCCTGGAGAAGCCAGGCTTGAGTATGACAGGACTTGCATGCCATTTCTGTGAATCACGAGCTACGTCCATGTGTGCTGACCAGGCTGCTGCCCATTTTACAGATGGCACCTTCGGAAGGTACCGTGACGCAAATAGGGCTCCTCTCCCAAGACATTCACCGCCTTACGGTAGGACTCTGACCCTCTCCCCATAGTCAGACTGGTGCTAGGGAGGGCCAGTGAGTTTGGTGTGGTAGTGCACAAGGCCTGGAGAACAGCAAAGAATGGTGCTCAGTGCTGGGGTCACAGCCTGAGCCTGAAACAGCCCCGAGGCAGAAAGCAGCCCAGGGGCCTTCTCTGTTGGCCTGTTACTGGACCTTGAGCCCTTAAGGGCATTGGGGAAGCTCATGGGCTGTTAGCCAAAGCCAGCTAAAGCACACCAGATCTCAGGTCCTCTTCCCAGGCTTAAAGATGAGGAAACCAAAATGCTCAGCAGCTCTGGATCATCTGTCTCAGCAGCCTAGAGCCCAGGCTGCATCCTGTCCTAGTGGACACTTCCACCCTCTGCCCAGAGACAAATGCATTTCCTATCGTGCCTCTGACTTTGTGGGTATCACAAAGTGTTGACAGGCTTGTGAGCACATCTGGCATGCCCGAAAGGACAAACTATATCATGGGGAAGGAGCTCGGCCTTGAAAAGCAGTTTTGGAGTGAGGCTCAAGTCTCTGCTCTGACTTCACTAGCTCTGTGACCTGGGGTGTCATTCTCTCCTGAGCTTTGGCTTAGTTATCTGTTAAGCAGGGCTAATGATACCCTCCTTGCCAGGCTTACAGGCAGACTAGAGCCAGCAGGAAAAGGCCAGCCACAGAGCGCAGCCACAGAGCACAGGATTTGTTTTTGAGGACCCATAACTCCCAAGGCCTTTTAGTTCGTGGACATCCCATCACTCAGCCTGTTGGCTGTAGTGTCTGTCCCCATCGAGGCCCCTGTCACTGTACTTTGCTTGCTTGTCTAACAAGGCCCATTGGGAAGACAGGACAAGGACAGGGACACACGACTCTCCTTGTATCCAAGGACACAACAGGGAAGTCTCCCTGACTCCAAACAGGATCAGTTTGATTCAACGTTTTTATTTATTGGCCCACCCATGAAAGGAATCTGACCACACTTGCCCTTATGATCTAGTCCTTCGGTGGCCTGAAAATAGAAAATGTATTTCTAAGATGAACAATTTATTTTTATCTTAATAGTATTGTTTATTCTGATCCAATACTCAGGGTTTCTTGGGACACTATAAACACTATACAGTTCACCTGCGTCAGATGCAGCCCTCACCCAGTGCCCTCTAGTTCCCATGCAGCTGCTGCAGGGCAGCCTGGACCAAAACTCTGTTAAACTGACCCTTCGGCTGTGTCCTTTTCAGACAATGCTGAGCCAGGACCAGCTGCTGAATGACTCTCGCCTGCCTGCCCCCGACTCTGATGACTGGAGATGACTTTCTTCATGGCTGAGAGCGTAGGGAGGCATGTGTGGGGGCCCAGAGCCTTTGCTTCTGTGGGGAGCTGGCACACAGCCCTCTCTGCAAGCCCAGTCCGGGCTGGCAGGGTGTCTCAGACAGGGTGCCAACAGGCACGAAGCAGAGCTGTGGGACAGGTGTCCAGGGGTGGCCCCAGGGTCCGTGCGTGTCTTCAACCATGCTGCGCTCTTCACCGCAGGCTTCATACCTTTTGTACTTTTATACATGGTCTGCGGACCACTTTTGTGGGAGGGCAGTGAGATATCAGCACGCAGACTAGATGGCTCATGCTATTCCTGGTGACATCCTGGAGGCTCTCACACCCGAGGAGGAGAGCTGTTAGTTAATAAAACCTGCTGGAAAAAAAGTTCCGAAAAACTGTTTTGAATGTTCTGTAGAGACTGCGTTTTGTGAAATGATCACCGGGAGCTCCCTCCGGCGCTGCTTCACAGGAGCATGCTTTTCCATTCACAGGACTGTGGCCGGGCAAGGCAGGTGTTTAGGGTGTGAGCAGGGAAAGCAATGAGGCCCCTTTCCCACAGCCCTGCCTGACTCTATCTCCTGTCATCTGCAAGGGGTATCTGTGCAACCTCCCAGCTTGGAGCAGAGGCGTCCCCAACACATGCACGCCCTGCCCTTTGCCTCCGCCCAAGCTGACACACAGCCTCCCAGGCCTTGCCCTTGGAGCAGCTCAGGCATAATGTCTGATTAAATAGCTCCCCCAAGTGGAAGGCCCTTGGGCACCTCAAGCTCCGTGTTTCCACCGCAACTCACCAACTTCCCAAACGTGTCCGCTTCCTCTCCACTCTTTAGTCTTTCCTCCCTCCAGGCATCTGCTCAGGCCCTTCCCTCACTGGGGAATGCATTTTTCTCCTAGTCCCCTTCATGAGGCAAAATCCTGTCTCCCAAGGTGTGGCAAAGAGACCGTCTCTCAGGAAGCCTTCCCGCATGATCCAGTTACAGGTCAGCTGTCCCACAGTACCGTGTCTGCCCTTGAGCCACAGCACAGCTCACCTTGAAGTTTCATACCCGTCCTCACCACAAACTTGGAGCACCTGCTCTGGGCTGGTTCCTGTACAGACAGTCCTCCAATTGCCAAGGAGATCCATGCTCCTAAGTTCCCCATCCACCCACTCCTTCACATGTGTGTGTTAAGTACCTTCCATGCCAGGGCTACAGATATAGGCATGAATGCCAAGGTCCCTGCCTGAAGGTGCTTACAGTCTAGTGGAGTACAGACCAGTTTCAAACAAGACTTTGCCAAAGGATACAGATGCTCCAATATTAGTTTCTGCAGCCTAAAAGAGCATGTTATCATTTTTAATGGGGGTTTGGGGAAGGAGTCTGAATAGGTTCCATGGAAGAGGTGACGCTTGAATTTGGAAAGATGAATCATATTTTCCCAGGTATGCCAGAGGGGAAGGGCATTCCAGGTAGACAGACTTGAAACAGCGCAGCACAACCTAGGAATTGCCAAAAGTTGGTAGGCTAAAGCAGGGTTTCCTGGCCTCTGTGCTGCTGTCCCTTTGGGCTGCGTAATACTCTGTGATGGAGGCTCTCCTGTCGGTTTTAAGACGTTTAGCAGCATCCTTGGTCTCTACCCTCTAGATGCCAATAAAGGGTAGATGCACCCCTTCTCTAGTTGACAACCAACATGTCTTTGGACTTTGTTATCTGTTCCCTGAGCAGCAAAATCACCCTTAGTTGAAGAACCACTAGGCGAGAGAATGGGGTCAGAGTTGGGGGCCCAGGGAAAGGAAAATCTGACAAAGTCAGCAGGAGCCAAATCAAGAAAGGCCTTGGGAGCCAGACCCTGGAGTGCGTCCTGGAGAGAAGGGGTGGCCAGAATGGGGTCTCCCTTGAAAACAGTGAAGGATCCCCAAGGAGACACTGAACAGGTGGATGGGTGAGGTTGGCCACCCCTCCCTCCCACCCCCACAGACCTTCTGTGAGGTCATCTCTGTGTTTGGCCACCGGAGGGTAAGACACAGCTGTACTTCAGCGAGCTCCCCAGAGCCCTGTTCTCTCTCTCCGCTCCCCTCTCCCTCATGCACATGCACCCTGAGTAACAAGTCCAGTGACACCAAGTTCCAATGTGGCCGCCATTATGTCAGTTTTTGTGAAAAGGGGAACAACTTAGAATAAAACTGGCCTCGGTTTAAGGCCAGCTTTGCCACCCACTGGTTGAATGACCTGGGAACACAGTCTCCAGGCCTCAGTTTCCTCATCTATAATTTGGAGAACAAAATCCCTACAGAATCTCTGGTTTGTTATGAGACTTCTATGAAGCAGGGCAGAAGCAGCTCTACCCACTCACAGGTAACAGAGCAGCACTGTGTCATCCTGGCCATGAACCACAAGGGGCCATGTGGTCACTCGTATCGTTTGGGTTTCATGATACTACAAAGGATTTAAGGCAGCTTCTGGAATCTGACTCTGAAAGTTGAGAAGTTTCTGTGTGTAACCACTCCTACCATGACCCCCAGTGCCATGGAGAGATTCTTGAGAGCTGATGTGACCCCACTTGGAGTTTTTTGGGAATTGCCCCTACACTTGACAGTTCTGACCCCCATGGGTATGCAGACGCCAACTCACAGGCCAGGCCATGGCCTCTGACTACCTAGCAGGTCCCCCACAGAGCCACACTTCATGGGCTATCTGCTTTGTACTTGAGTTTATTTCGCAAAACCATGGAGAAAGATACTGAAATGGAGCTCTTTCCAGCCTCCAAGCAAGGAGGCCCCAGCAGCCAGTCTCCAGCCCCTTAAGCCCTTCTTGTTAGGCCCACACCCAAAAGAGAGGAGAACCAGTGTCTGCGTGAGGGTACCTGGCAAGGCACTTTTGAAAACATCCCAGTTTAACGTGGTGAAACTGAACTTACTCTGAAACAGATGAAAAGGGACATGCAAATTTCCTGAGCACATGGAGGTGTTAGTAGGTGAAAATCATGTCCTGGGTATAACCCAGCTTCTCCAGGTTAGGGTGAGCTGCCGTCTGGATCAGGGGTGGTGGGCCACACACCAGGATGAGCGTGGACTTCCCTGGAGGAGGAAGGTGCTCCTTGATCATGTCGGCAGTAACAAAGCCTGAGCTGTACTTCCAGCCTGAAATGAAGCAGACGCAGGAGAAAGCTGTGGGATGCCAGGTGGAGTTCCTGATCCCAGGCCGCCTATATACCCACCCTCAACCAGGGAGGAGGTGACAAGCTGCTCTACAAAGGCTTAGAAGTCTGTACTACTGCCCCCTGCAAAAAGCCTCAGAACTAGTAAACAGCCCTCTGCAGCAGTCGCCCCAGGTCCCAGGCTCACTGCAGGGACCCTGAAGCCCTGCTGCTGTCAGCTGTCAGCATTAATGAGGAAGGAGAACACAATGAGGTATACCGAGGTGTGTGAATCAATACGGCCGGCTGGAGTTGTCCAGCAGGGTGTGGCCTGGTGTTAGTGGAACTGCTCAGAATCGCTCAGTCGGGTAGTGGCCTCTGCCAACCACGAAGCTGTATGACAAGCAGGTACAGCTGGGCGCAGTGTGAGATGTGCGCCTGTGGGGTGCTCTGTGCACAGTGGTTGCTGGGATGCTGCCTGGGCTGCAGCAGCTGTCTGGGGGCTCAGCATGTGAAGATTGCTGTCCAGGCGAGGTGGGTGGTGAGGGGTGTGATGGCCGTAAGCAGAGGCGTGAGTGGTGAAGGGGTCAGTGCCCATATTAGATGTGTATGTGATGGTGTGTGGAGTGGGTGGGTGTTCAGAGTGGACAGGGGCAGTGTCCCTTTTGATGTTCAGTGCAGTGTGTGGGGTGCTGCTGCTGTATTAGACACCTGCTCTTGATTGCCCTTAAAAGCAGGCCATCCCAAATCCTCTCTCCCTCAATTTCTCACATTTCCCACCTGGAGCCAGAGCCCAAATCTTCACCCCCACATCTGTTCCTATAAAACAAAAACAAAACAAACAGAGACCAGTCCTCAAAGTGGTCAAGGGTTGATGCTGACCCATGGTGGGTGAGGGCACTGGATATCGTACCAATAGGAGGCCTGTCCAGGGTGTACCACAGGTCGAACTGGTCTGGGTGAGTCCTGGCAATTTCTTCAAGCTCTTTTCTGACCAATATATCCTCCTCTGTCTAGAAAAGAAGCAACACTAGAAAAGCCCCTCCAGGGCCATCCTGTTGTTCCCTGGACTGACTACACTGGTCAGCATACTCTTGGCCAAAGCTGCTGCCGCTCCAGCTGGAATGCTCGCTGCCAACTTTCAGGGCAAACAGGAGTTCTGCTGCTGCTCGTGAAGATCAAACCATTTGTCTTGTGGATGAAGTTGGTGGTAGGATGTAGGTTCCCATGGAGCTGTAGTGACTGCCTCCAGCTAGAAGGACCTTTGCCAAGCACTGGCCAGGATGGCTTCACGCAGAGCTCCAGCCCTGCCTCCTACATCTACACTGAGCTCTAGCACAGCAAACCTAACTGGAACAAGCTCAGTGCAGGCCCAGGATCTTCTGGAAGAAATGTAATGGGCTCAGAAAGTCCTGTGATAGAACAGTACTGGATATGTGAAGGAGAGGAAAACAGTCTGGAGCCTCATTTGGGGGAAAGGGAACCAAAGCCAAAAATAACCTGTCACAGGCTCAAACATACTGCACAGAAGACCTGCACAGAACCTTCATGATTCTCATCCCAGTCATTCCACTTCTGGGATTCTGTTTTAGAAAATAATCTAAAAGTAATCAAGCGTAGGCACAATTATTCATCACCATATTATTTATAACTGAAAACAGCCTGAATATAGAAGTTAAATTATAGTGCAACTTGATAAAAACTATGATGAAAATATTTATAAAGCAGTTTAAAGAGAAGAAAATGCCTGTGTGGTAATGCTGAGTGAAAAAAATGGATATATAAATTATAAATATATCGCACATATAGAAAAAAGATTTAAAAAATAAGTAAGTATTTATATTCTGTATTTTCTGAAGTGTCCACTGAGGACATCTGTGATTTTGCACTTAGCAAAAATGTAGCAATACATATTAAGGAAAAAAGGAATGCTTAGTGCTTAGGGTTGGCTGAGGAGACACAAAAGAGTTAAATACATGCAAAAAGCAGGCCTAGACTCAGCTTCTCCAGCTGCCAGCAGCCCTGTTGATCCCACTAAGCCCTCCCACAGTCACAGGCACCCAAGCAACATGAGCTCAGTCAATGGAGGAGAAATGAAAACAAGAGCCCAGCTCAGCAAACATTCCATCCTACCACTGCAAGCTCAGCAGGAACTGACCTGGTTGGCAAAGATGAGGGACATCCTGGTGCTGTCACTGGGGTCCTTGGTGATGTGGCGAATGAGCTGCAACATGGGTGTGATGCCTGGAACATAGTGAGTGGGCAGCCAGCTTTCTCCCTGTCTCTGAAGCCCACAGTCCCTGACCTGCAGCAAGCTTACCTGCCCCCAGCCCGTTATCCTTTTCTCCCTTCTGTCCCCAAAACTCAAAAGTGGGGAACAGCCCTTCATTTTGGTTTTCCTTTCTAATGCAACAGTAAGTCAGAAGGTCTTTCTCATTTTCATATGGCAAGATGGAAAGAACACTCTAAGTTCTTCCGTGTCCTCATTCATCAAACAATTAATGACGGGTAAATGTGATAGCTTTAAGAGTGCCTATTACAGTGCCTGGCACATTGTATGTCTCCTTCAAAGACTGTTCTCTTCCTTCAGGCAGTCATTTGCAAGGGATGGGGAGAGTCAGACTTGAACTGGATCCAGGTGCTCCTGGGACAGCATGGGTGGGCCTGCCCAGCTTGGCCCCCAGCCTGACCTGAGAGGTCCCCGCAAGGCTCCTGAGCAACCACCATGTTGGTTAGGGGAAGCAGGGCATGCAGGGTCAGTTTCAAGACCTGTCACTGATTCATCATTCCCACCTTCTACAGCTGGGGGCGAAATCGCTCATGTTGTCCCTTCGAGGATCAAATGACTCCCAAGTCAGAATGGTCTCAGGGCTCATTCTCCGGATGGAGCCCCTAGAAGCCTCTTACCTGTGCCCCCAGCAATCATTCCCAGGTGATGGGCCAGTTTTTTTTTAGGCTCACTCGTCTGGTCTGGTCTGATTCCAAGATTCCCTGGAAACACAGGGAATGCTTATGACCTCTGCAGTTCTTGCCTAAGAGACTGCAAAAGATCACTGACATTCCTTAGGACTCCCAGGAGGCAGCTCCAACTAAAGGACTGTCTGCACCATTTTAAGCTGGTGAAGCAGGCCAGGGCAGTCTCCTCAGCGAGTTCTGGCGCCCCAGTGCACAAAGTGGGAATAGAGCCTGAGCCTGCACAGGGAATCGCCGGACCTTTGGTTCTGAGGAAAAAGAGGGGCAAGCTGAAGTTAACACAGAGACTCAAAGAGCATTCTCACTCACGGAGGTGAACCAGTGAGTAAATAATGGCTATGTGAGTAAGCAAAGGAGCATGGACTCCTCCATCCATTTTTCAGTATTAGCAGGCACCATTTATGTATCAGGCATTGTGCTGGAGACATTGATATAATGACGAGGAAACACCAAATCATTCCCCTACCTTAAAAAAGCTTACAACCTCATGAAGTGGGTGTGTGAATGTATAACAAGTGTGGTCATTATGCATTGTGTGTGAATGAATGAAGACTAAGGACAACCCCATGTGACTCAAATCTGAGGCCTGTATGAGAACAATGGAACCATTGAAGGAATCTTCCTCCCAGCTGGGAGCCCAGTATGAACCCCTCCAGTACCTGGCCCATGGTAAAACAAGCGTCCCTTTGGCCCTCGAAAAAAGATGGTGTCCCCGATTTTCATGTTCTCCAAATACTGAGTCATCTTCCCCCCTTCAGGATACTGGGGGTGTACATTTTTGAAGTAGATCTGAAAAGCAAGGCAGCACTGCTTTCACATTCCCAGACA